AGGGAGTTAAGGGAGTAAAGGGAGTTAAAGGAGTTAAGGGACCTAAGGGAGTAAAGGGAGTTAAAGGAGTAAAGGAAGCTAAGGGAGTTAAGGGAGCTGAGGGAGTTAAAGGAGCTAAGGGAGTAAAGGGAGTTGCGAGAGCTAAAGAGTGTAATTATATAGTATAAAATTGCTCCAAGATAACTTCAATTTCTTGTGGACCCCTCATGCCTGATGTTGCTCTCTTTAAAAATTATTTTATCTAACTCACTTTTTACAATGATTGTATTGTTTTGATATTTCTCATGGTTTCTCTTCGATAACGTTATATGCGTCATTGCATCTTATCTTGTTCCTCTTTTTTTTCAAGGATAATTTGACGGGTGTGTGACTTTCACACAGTATATTCTTCGGCGAATAACGTTATCTTTATATAAACTTTGGACTTTCTGCGAATATATATTTAATAATAGAATAAAAATCGCGGAACTGATAAGCGTTTACGTAGATTTGTTTTTACAAAGATCAAAAATATATAAGTAGACAATATAACTGAGTAGAGTTACTCATATTTGTAGCAAAGAATTAACTACAAAAAAGAACGAACAGCAGTTTAACAGAAGGTATGTATGAAACGAAGCGACGTTTACCAATTGCTTTCTACTGGCACACTATCTCAATCAAACCATGCACGTCAGTTCAGTCCTCTTTATTTTAGTTGCCATGATTGTTTGTCATGAAGTGAATTGATCAGTTTTTGACGACGAAATCCTCCATGCATTTTGATTCACTCGAAATACAATATAGGAAAGAGGAAATGTGCATGAGTTAAGTTAAATTATTACTAATATTCGATAAATATTATAGCATGTTACACAGTAATTTATATTTTACTCAACGTTGCTCTCATCTTAGCATCAATCACAAAGAAAAGGTGTATTAGAAAAAGACGTAAATGTTCATTGTCATATTTTCGACATATAGTATAAGTCCATGCTGTAAGAAGTTGTTGTTACACATTAAAAACTTGTCTTGAATTCGGTTGTGGAACTACATGTAATAGTCGATGCAAACAATGTGATTATAAAAAAAGGTTCAATCCGACGGCCTAGGCTGTCAACTAGGGACCTGCGGAGTCAACTTTTTTTGACTCCGACTCCGACACCGAAAAATTTTGTATCCACGACTCTGACTCCGAGGATTTTTATTTTTTTGACTTCGACTCCGAAAAACTCCGAAGTTTTGTTAACAAAAAGCGAGGGTGTGGGTGTGCGTCGTTTCTCTCTACTGACACCTACACCCACTCATCCTCAAGATGACTTCGAGATATTACTACAACTCATATATTATTTGATAAATGATAATGTATTAAGAAATGTGAATGATTAAATAGCTTGATTATATATAAAAAAATATAATTCAGTTGACAAAAGAAAATGTCATTCTGCTTATATCGATTAATAAAGCTCAACACTATTGAGAAAACCACTACTGCCGTCTCCACCAGCAACTAATACTTGTCCATTTGCTAATGTGGATGCTGTGTGACGTCCTCGTGTGACACTCATGCTTCCTGTAGTTGTCCAAGTACCTGTTAATGGATCGTACAATTCAGCACTATTGAGACAACTACCACCGTTGTATCCACTAACAACTAATACTAATCCATTTGCTAATGTAGATGCTGTGTTCCAATATCGTGCGACACTCATGCTTCCTGTGGTTGTCCAAGTACCTGTTGATGGATTGTACAACTCAGCACTATTGAGATAACCACTACTGTTGTGTCCACCAGTAACTAATACATACCCATTTGCTAATGTGGATTCTGTGTGCAAAAATCGAGCAAAATTCATGCTTCCTGTAGTTGTCCAAGTACCTGCTGATGGATCGTACAATTCAGCACTATTGAGAACAGCATTGCTATTCTCTCCACCAGCAACTAATACTAATCCATTTGCTAATGTGGATGCTGTGTGATATTGTCGTGCGACATTCATGCTTCCTGTAGTTGTCCAAGTACCTGATGATAGATTGTACAACTCAGAACTATTGAGAAAAGCACCGTTCTCTCCACCAGCAACTAATACTAATCCATTTGCTAATGTGGATGCTGTGTGAAGTTCTCGTGCGACACGCATGCTTCCTGTAGTTGTCCAAGTACCTGTTGATGGATTGTACAATTCAGCACTATTGCCATTACCACCAGCAACTAATACTAATCCATTTGCTAATGTGGATGCTGTGTGCCAATATCGTGCGACACTCATGTTTCCTGTGGTTGTCCAAGTGCCTGTTGATAGATTGTACAACTCAGCACTATTGAGAACAGCATTGCTATTCTCTCCACCAGCAACTAATACTAATCCATTTGTTAATGTGGATGCTGTGTGACTACATCTTTCGACACTCATGTTTCCTGTTGTTGTCCATTCTAGATAAGACAGAAAAGTGAGTAAAAAATGTTGTTCTCAAAATGACGTCGAATCTCTTCTGTGCATAAGTTGTCTATCTATTGATCACAGATTAAATGATTTCAAACCTTGAAAAAGCTTCTCTTTTTTTATGGTTAAGATAAGATTTATTATGAAATTTTGAATTAAATTAATGAAAAATATATTATAAACGAGTTTACTGGTATTTTTCGAGTTCTACCGATGTCGCGAACTGATGACACTCCAACACTGTCCTACAATTCAGTTATGATGAATAATGATCAAATTTCAGAATTTGAGTGGAAGTCATTCTACATAGTTAAACAAATTGGAAACAATATGTACTTTCATCAGGTTGAATGGGTGATGTACGTATGCGCTAGGATGTGACTGTCAGTAAGAGAATATAATTCTCGCATTTTTCTTATAAGAAAATCAGTATACTAAGAGTTAATTGATGGTGACGAAAGACGTTTTTCTCGAGTTTGAAATTTGCTTGTTATATTCTTGCGATATTTTTTTGAATTACTCATCTCTATACAAATACGACCTGAAACATAAGATCAGGTGTTGATAGATATGTCTCATGTCGATATTATGTCAACTAGTACTTCAATGTGTAAAATTATTCGGATCACCTTGAGAGTGAGTTGGTGTAAGTGATTACTAAAATGATTAATGACTTCTATCACATGAAAATCTTTTTATCAACAATGTTTTCGTCTGATACTGTTGGACAGTACACGGATATCCAATATTTAAATGAGTGTAGATCAAATCTAGTTATCTAAAATTGGCCTTGTTTCGACTTCTGTGAGTAAACGTTCCCTATTCTTGTCTATCTGGATGGCGATTATTCAATAGCTAAAAACAAAGCTTTTAAATATCGCTATTTCTAGTGATAATCGTTTGAACATCTAAATATCATTTCATATAGTACTAACGCTGTATTGCTGTTGGTGTTGATGTTGTTGTTGTTGATGTTGTTGTTGATGTCGTAGTTGGTTCTATATTGAAAAAATGATTTTAGAGTGAGCCTAAACGATTAGATAAGATTTGTTTCCTTTACTGTAAAAATATATCAACGTTAAATATGAGTTGATTATAATAAAATAGGAAATGTTTAGATGATTTCAATTACAATTGTAATTCTACGATATTTACTTTAAGTGTATTTCTATTATAATAATTTTGACAACTCAATTTACATTTCTTATAAGTTCACTAAAAAAAGAAACTTTTCGAATGACACAAATTGAGTTATATAGGATCTGCATATTGATTCTTTTCTTGAAATCTTTTATTTTTATTTAACCCTTTCCGACCGAATGTTGTCAAATGACAACATTGAGATAATGTTGAACCGATAACTCTTTCAAACTACTATCGAGTACCAATCTTATAGTACGATAATTAAAGGTACATATCACATAAATTACCCACTTCTCATTTAATATGAATATGTAAGACTTTTGGAAAATAGCCTACTACATACTAATTAACATGGAAGGTCAGCATTATCAAAAAGTGTCATTTCTTCGTGATTTTTGGAAACTGGATATGTTAACTAGTAATTCTAAAAAAATTTCTTATTTTATCTTTAGTACGAGTCACTACTAATAACAGAGTTTTATTGGTATATAAAATGTGTGTGGGTGTGACTATCTATGGAAGGGAGGGTGCTAATCAAGAGAGCTCATACCCACACCCACACCCTCAAGATATTAACATTCTTCTCTAACGTCTAACTTGCTAAACTAAAAAAAAGGTGGAATTTTTACCGGAAAAAAGAAATCTTACTACATTTTTTCAGATATGTTGAGCTCGTTGGATAGCGAAACTAAGTAATATTTCTTTTAATACAATCGATACCGAAAATATATGTCATTCAATCATGGCGAAGCTATGATATTTTTGCAGTATTTATATAATATTTACTTTGTGCTATGAATATTGCTGATTGATTTATAAATATCAAAGAAGAATTGAGATTAAATTCAATGAAGATCGAAGTAGAATTTGTATAAAATAATTGACAAGTTTGATTTGTTGAGAAGTAATTTAATGTCGATATTGTTCCATTTGAATTTGTCATTTCACATATACATTGACTTTCCGTTATATTCCATAATGATTTAGATATATTACCAATCAATATATTATTATCTATTTTACCGATAACAATACAATCACCAGTAGAAACTACCAGTAAAATAAAAAATATCCGAAACATCTTTTATGACTTGATCTTGTAAACTTTTTTGTTATAAATATTTTAGTTATTAACATGGCTGTTTCCCTTTTCTCTCATTTTCTCTAACTCTCTCGTTTAATATTTAATCACTCCAAAAAGTAGTGCTATAGATTGTTTGTGAAGTGTCTGAAAATAAAAGCTACGGTCGTGACTAGTATACATACACAAACCGAGTAGAATAACAACGAGGAAAAAATATTTGACTAAAGGAAAAGACATCCCCACCCACATTTGAGATTTATATTTATATAGCAGTGTTACCATTCTATTTATTAGACAAATTAAAACAAACAGTATTTTTACTATTCCAAAATTTGTTAAATATTGATTTATCATAGCAACACATTCTAATGTACTTTTTTGCTTAACCTCGAGTGAATGTTTGCCTTACTTTTCTTCTATTTATTGTATGTTGCTTTGATGTTTTATGTACACAAAACAAGAAACAGAGCGCTTATAAAATCATGTAGATTCTATTATAATCATAATAATATAAACTACGTTGTTTCAGAAAAAGAGAATTGTATTTGAATAGAAAAATAATGGAAATAAAAAGTGAAGTTGTTTTGTGAATAAAAAATAGCATCTCCATGATTATATTAGAAAAACTAAGTTGGTAATACGTCTTTTCTTTCATCTAATATTTTATCGAAGAAAAATAATCTTTCAAAATTTGAATAACATTGTATTATTTACTAAAGAATGCATTTTATACACGAATATATTGAAAGTACAATATTTATCCATAAATTTTATATTAATTGATTGTTTATTTCCATAGTTCAAGAGAACAATATGATTATAACTGTTGTTATTGTCATAGAGAAACAGAAATTACTTATGATTGAGTAAATAGTAACAATTCTAATGCTATATATGAAGTGTCATAGAAGAATCGAGACAATGGTGGTACTATAAATCACTATTTCCCTCTAAATATTCATTAGAATTTAGACAACACAATATTTTGTTTCGACAACAATCCTTAGCATACAAAATGATCGATATTTTTTATCGTTTTGATGTGAGTGTGATAACTGATTTGCAACTGTGTCGTTATCTGAAGAATACTACAATGGATGCAAATAAAAGAAAGAGTGACAAAGAATAGAAATTTTGATCGAACTCATAATAATGATGAATTTATCCATAGTTTCAGGAAATAAGTATTCCGGAATGGAATGTTCATTTCATAATGCATTTCTTATCGAAGTGAGTCTGAAACTTGTCAATTGCTCACATATTGCGAAGTAAATAAAGAAATAGCATCCCGCTGTAGTCTAATGGTATGATCTCCGACTGTAAAAGTAAATAGATCGCAGAAATCGGATGGTTTCGGTTCGATTCCGGACGGCGGGATATATTTCTATTTTTATTACATCATTTTTGTCTTGTGTTTTGACTACATTACAAATATTTATGATGCAATTGTTTCTTTTTTTCTCTTCAATGATTCATACAGGTGTGTTTATCGGTTAGGAAGACAAATTTTCTTTCCAACAAGTTTACAATATTTGACTACTCTTGAATAATGCTCGTCTTGATATTTTAAATGTTATAAAGTCTGATTCTTAATTTATATTCTTTTTTTGTTGAATATTCTGTGAAAAATGATGCTTATTGGATTATTTACTAAATTATTCTATTTTCAAAGACGGAACAAGATACAACTATTTACAGACACATAGATTGTTATATTAGTCGAGATATGATAAGCAACTGCATATGCACGTTCTTTTTAAATATCTTGATCCGATTTTCAAGTAAAATTCTGATATTCTATAATTGACGGAAGTAAAGCAACTTTATTCAAGTCTTCTGCAATGAATATAAAAATTTTATGTAGCTGTTTCAAGTGAACTGGGTTCGTTTGATGTAAGCAAAGTTTTTTTGCAAAATGAAATAAGTTTCTATGGAATGATATTGTGACTGATTAGTTTCTTGAATAATGATCAGATTAAAATGTTCATTTTTTAAACTTATTCTGCATTTATTTGTATTCAGAGTTGATCAATCTTATCCTTAACCGTCTGCTTCTCGTCAAATGAAAAAGATCGTTGATAATATTTTAAAGCTATTTCAAGTTTATTAAGATGCTCATAACATTGAGCGATATTTGTTAAACTGTTAATAATATCTTTATGATCTGGTGAGAAAACTTTTTCGATGAACTTGAGCAAGAATAGAAAGAATTTTTGCAATCGATACATGTTTTGGAGAGAGACTAGCTTCTTGGATGAATAAACATTGTTGAAGATATCCAGTAGCACGATGATAACATTGTTTTTGATTCTAAATAGATGCAATCCATTCGAGACCAATGGCAAGTTCAGAGTGATTAAGTGGATCATATTCTTGAAGTAAAGTAACTGCTGGAGAGAAATAATCAAGAGCTCCATCAAAATTGTTTTGGTTAACTTTTATTCAACCAATATCCATTAGATTACTTACAACGGTTGTATACGAATATGGTAAATGTTTTTCTCGAATTGCTAATGCTTCATTGAATTTTTCTTGTGCATTTAGAACATTCCCAATCAAAATCAAATTTGAAGCTAATTGAATATGATTAGACGAATAACATTTTTCATTGATATTGAGCGCTTGTTAGTAATATTCTAGAGCTTGATCGTATTGACATTGGTTTTTGTAAATTTTACCGATAGACCAAAGAGTAGAAATAATCGAAAAATCACTCAATGGAAAACATTTCTTTTGAATTGTTAATGCTTAATATTGATCTGATCGGATGAAGAATTGTTTTGTCGAATTGTTAATATTCGTTGAGAGAAGACAAGAGCTTGATCTATTTTTTCTTGAGTAGATAAAATGTGACTAATGTTCGCCAGTGTATCAATTAATTCAATATGTTCAGGTGAATAAAAATCTTCTTGTATTTTTAATACTCGATTATATATTTCCAAGACTTGATCAAATTTCATTTGTTGTCCTAAAACATTTCCAATCAAGTTGAGATTGTTAGCGATATAAACATAGTAGGACGGATAAGATCTTTCTAACATAGTTAGAGATTTCTGATAAAAATCCAGTGCTTGCTCAAAATTTTCGTTCTCATCTAATAATATATCACCAATATTAATCAAAGCATAAATAGTGTCTATATGATCAGATGAATACAATTGGATAAATACTGCTAATACTTGTAGATATAATTGTAAAGATTCCTCATACATTTCTTGTCCATATCTAATATGTGCGATATTTGTCAAAGCGTAAAGGACATCGGGATGACTTCATGAGCGCAAATTTTTCATTATTGTCAACGCTTGTTGATTCAGATTTAGAGCTTCTTCAAAGATTTCTTGTCGATACAGAATATAACCAGTACAATAAAGTAAAAGAGCTATATATGTATGATTTGATTGATAATATTCTTTGCAGATGGACATTGCACGTTTTTGATACTCCAGTGCTTGATCATACTTTTCTTTGATCAATTAATATATCAGAAATATTGTCCAAACTAATGGTAATATCAACATGAAAATGTTCATAATATTCCTCTCGAATTTCTAATGCTTGTTGAAGAAAATCGTACGCTTCTTCATATTTGCTTTGTGAATATAAAACTTTACCAATAGCAGAAAGAACTACAATCGAATCTTGAAGATTAATTTTATTACTTTTAATCGCTCGATCATAACATAATCGTGCTTCATTCAATTGTCCAATTTCATAGAAAGTTTGACTAATAAACTATTCAATCCATCGTAAATCTTGTTCATTTGAATAAATTAATAAATATTGAAGATATTTTCTTGATTGATTCCATTCATTCATATCACACATTAATTTACTAAAAATAATTGGAATACTTAAATTTTTTATTTGTCGATATGTATCTGTAAGATATTTTTCTTTAATTATATGTCCATAACTAACTGCAGTTAATCGAATAAGAAATTTTTGATCATTTTCTTTGGTATTTTCCAATTGAAATGTTGTATTCAAATCAAATAAAACTTCGTTTTTATTCTGATATTCTTTTAGATTACATTTAATTTCCAAGTCAACATCGACTAAATCCGATCGTTGTGGTAATAAAAAATCCTGCTTTACTAATAGAAATCCTTTCATTGACATTATTTGTTCTTGTTTTTGTTTGAAATTATTTAATTCATGTTTTGATAATTTCATCTGTTGACGACTAACACAATTTTCGATAAGATCAACAAGAAAATATCTTAATTGATAAAGTTGATCGATGTCTTTTCTTTGCAATGATTTAGTTATTAATTTTTGAAGAAATAAATTATTTAAATACCATTGAATAGCATCATTAGATTGATATTCTGATTTTTCATCAGCATAAAGACGAAAGATATTCATCATATCTTTTTTTGCTTGTTAATCATGAGGAAAATATGAAATAGCATCATAAAATAATTGCACCCATAGAAAATCACTTGATTGTTTTGATAAATCTCTTTTGGAGAAATTTATTTGATCATAAAGTGTCCATTGAAAAAATTGTTTAGCTACTAAATCAATTTGTTCTTCAAGAGCTGAATAGAAAAAATCTAATCGATGATAAACTCCTATTATACTTGATTGTTCATGAAATAAATATGTAAAGTCTTCAGTTTTTGTGTAAAAGATAAAGATTGAATGTACTTGTTGAAAAATATCAACATGAGATACCAACCATCTTGAGGGTATGGGTGTGGATGTAATGTGTATCATCGACCTCTCACTCACACCGTCAACGATTCGAATCTATCTTATGTTTACAATAATGAATAGTTGTTTAAATGATAAATCGATGCATTTTTTTGGATATTGAATGTATTCCTGAATAATATCTACTCGTATTAAAGCTGAACCCAAAGCATTCATATAGGAAGTTAAAGCTGATGAGTTGTCACTACCTAAAATATAGCTACTCTATATTCTGAGGGTGTGAGTGTGTGTGAAGGTAAAGATAAAGAGAATAATCACACACACACCCACACCCAAATTTTATAAAATTTCAAATATACAATCCATTGAAGTATTGGGCTTTACAAACAAAGATCGTCGACTTTCACCATATATTCTAAAAGACATAAGTTTAGTCATACTACTAGATCGATTAGGTGTAAGAATAAGATTCATACAAAGTTTATTAATACGTTTCACTCGTCACAATTTATAGCAATAAATACGACGAGAGAAAAAGAAAAAGAAGAAGAAATGAAAAGTAACGTCCTAGATCCCTTCTGAACAAAAATAAAACATTAAATTGTCATTCTACTAATATTAACATGTATTCGTCAACTCTGAACGATGACATAGAAAACAGAAGAGACATTGCTATAGCGAACACATTACATGCACATAGTATGCACTTATTTATTCTCTAAACAGCATCGAGATCATTGTAGATATACACCAGTTTCCAAATAAAAAAATAATAAAAAAAAACAATAATGAAGAAAAAATTTGTGTGTTTTATTCAAAAGTAAAGAAAATAATTCAAAAAGGAACACACTAACAAGTCATACACTCCGACTAAGTTATGGTGTGGCTAAGGGTGCGTGCGGAGGTGAGATACGTCCACGTCCACACCAGCATCCATACCCACCCACACCCACACCTTCCCAATACTTCAAAAGAGTTATTAGATTAATTTCGATGTAGACACCGTCGAACAACAATTTGCAATTCTTTCGTATAAGTCTTTGAAGGAAGTAAATAAAGGAGAGGAATTAATAATGTTGGTAAAAATGAAATAAAATATCCAAAGAGAAATAGCCAAGGATTACGAAGAGACTTCATGCATCCAGATAGAAATGAGATTATAAGACGAGGTACACCGATAATAACAAGTGCACATGGACTAATAATAAGATGTTTATGCTCTCGAAACTGCTCTCGTAAATATTGTTTATACGGTTGCTTTTTACGAGCATTCGAGTGTGTTCGAGCTTCTAATATAATGATTAGAATCGCTGAGATAAGATTAATAGAAAATGGAATAATAAAATGAACAAGATGTATAGTAGAATCATAAATTTGCAGTTTCAATGAATATCGTGCAATACACCATGTTCTCTCTTCTTCTTTGTCATGTATTAATTTTCGATGTATTGGATCTTGAATACCACTAGCAAAACAAAAGATGATTACTCCGACAATAATCCACGGAGCAATTTCTTTGCTTCTCTTTTTATTGAAATTTACACCGTTTATTATCACAAACGTTCTTTCAATAGCTACGCATGCAGTCAACCAATCTCCAATAGCTGGTAAACATCGAAGTATAAATTCTATTGAATTACAATTGATCAAAAGAATGATATGATTTGTAACCCATAGAGATTGAGTAATAATCAGTAACCAAATTTTAACAGTCAAAATAATAGTGGTGATAATTGAAAGAATAGATGAAGCAAAAAGATATAATCCACAACCAACTTCTCGAACGTTTTTTGAACTGAACGTCATCGCCGACAATATACCACTAACAAGACCTATGAACAGCATTAATGATGTAATACCAATACTCACTTTGACTGGAGTAGACTGATGAGAAACCGAAAGGTGTTGACGAATTTGATACCCAAGAATAGTATCAAGCGAAAGAACAGATCCTTTTGTTGTAAATTGACATTGTCCACCAAAATAACATTCATTGCATGCACACATAGTGCTCGTCGGACAGTATGGATCGTCTTGAAAGCATTTACCATCGTTCTCGCAATGATTCTGTCCTTGGCAGCTCAATTCTTCGGTAAAATTAAAATAAAAACAGTTAGCAAATCGATCATTGTTACATAAACACAGAAACGCTTCTTTATCATATAAACAAGTTAATTGACGATGATTCTTGCAAATAACATGATAGTATTTAGCTCGACGCAATAACGGAAAGGCAACTGTACGTTTGTCTAGGAATGTATCAATTGGCAAGCATTGTTGAGAAGATTTTATTTCAATAGCGAGAAAAGGTGAATATTTGGCCTTTACTTCTTTATATAAAAGGTAATATTCATCATGAATTCGAGCAAAAATGAGATTGGACAACAATGCTGTAAACAGTATTGTTTTATACTGATCAAGACGAATCTTCTTTGAACTCATAATAATCACGGGATCATTGTCTACTTGAACGGCAATCAAATAAAGCAATACAGATTGAGGGATTTCAACATCATGAAATGATAATTCAATCTGGGCATCTTTAAATTCACATGTCGTTCCACGAAAGCCTGGTGCACACATGCATTTCAAAGCACTTAACGACTCTGGATCCTCTTTTGATATACACTGACCGCCATTTTTACATGAATCGTGCTGGCACATAGGGCGAACGTAACATCGAGGACCAGTTTTATGAAGTGGACACAAGCAAATCGATCGATCGTTTACAATGCCAATACAAAGTGAATCTGATGAACAATCACAATTAATATTTTCAATTGTACATTGTAGACCTGTCCAACCTGGATCACAACGACAAAATTGTTTTTTGTTATTTGTGTAAACAGCACAATGACCATGGTTACCACATTCAAGTGTACAGTTATCAAAAATATCCATCGTATATGGTGGAATAATTAGAAAAGCAGCCATACGATTGACTGGGAGAAAGGGAAACTGAACTGGCAATGTCCAACTTGTATAATAAGTAAGATCAGCCTTATTATAAGCATGAATATCGACTGTATAGTTCTTTGTCATATCTTTTGAATGTGGTCCATATAGAAAGTATAAATTATATTTCATAGTGCAATTATTCGTTGGAATATATGTTAGTTGTTCGTATGAATACGTAGTATGATTCTGATCGATAAGAGTTAAAACAATACCATAAACTCCATGACAATTGAGTGTACATTCTTTACGAAATTTGACAGTAAGACTAACTCGTTGGCTTTGAAATTGACATCGATCACCATAATAACTTGGCGGACAAAGACAATGTTCAGCAAGTTCTGTACCGACATAAACTAGAACACCCCGATTGCAAATCCAAGCTCGACGAAAGTCTATTATTTTATTTAATACTTCAGATCCATATTGTATGACTGACAACTGTGTGTTTTTTTTTAAGACATGTTCGTCGGATTGATAAAAGATCTTGTCCATCTGTGTTAATGATGTATGTGTCGGTTTTAATGGGAAATAATCCGATGAGTGCAAGGTGAAATATTTATACCTGGGAAAACTATATGAGTCTGCTGGATGTGTCGGAGGCCTTATCAAATGACCGTCTATGTCTAAACTCTTCACTATGGCTTTGATGCTTTGATTTGTATTGCATACTTGCTCGAAACCGGTATCTTTTTCGAAGAAACAAGCCCTTGGACCCGCGCAATCGCTTATATGACATTTTGTTTCATTCCAACAGTGGTAATTACTGAAAAAAAACCCTGGATAAAGATTTCGGCAATACCCTCGTTCATCAGTCCCACCAAGACAATCCATTTTTCCATCATTACTTTGATTAAGTGGTAAACATATTATGTCAAAAGTGGTGGGAGATATACATTCATGGTAATCGGGATAGCATTTCGATAATGGATTGCAGTTGAGTTCATCAGCTCCATTTAAACAAGTCCAAGCACCATCACATCGTGTATATAGATTATTACATGGCCATTGTTCACAATTAGTTTCATCAGTTTCGTTTTGTCCATTGACAAGTATCGGCAAATTATGGGTATATCCGTTACATAAGTTTTCATAAAATAGTTTGTTGTACATAGGCACCGTTTCGTCTTCTTTGCCATAACAATTGCCGACACGGTCTTGTACGAGAATAGGTGATATACATTTGTTCTCTGATGAACAACGGAAACGATGTTTGTGATTTAGTTTACATGAATCGTTGTATGTTTCATCAGTCTTTTCAAAGCAATCACTAATTCCATCAACTAATCGATGTTTTGAAATGCATTTTGATGTGCCAGGACAATGAAATAAGGAGGAATGAATGCAATGAGTTTCATTACCACTTTGATCAATAGTCAAACACCGATAAAAGTATCCTCTAATATAATCCCAGTCTGAAAGATCAATCGTACGGTTATCTATACATGTGTAGTTATCAATTTTAAAATGATATGGAAAGAATGGGCAACGTTGCACATCATAACATAAAAAATCTGGCTTTATCATTGGTCGATCTATTATATTATGGTAAGGAACTATTGTTTCTGTCCAATATCCGAATAGTACATGACCGTGGAAAACGGGCATTGTTGGAAAAATGACGTAAGCTGTAGTGTTACACCTACTTTGAATTCTTAAATAACAAAATCGCGTACTACATACTGTATCACACATATCAGTGAATCTTCCAAATGTTAAACAGCTCATTAAGAGCCAACATTCATACGTTAAGTTGGTATGTTCTTGGTTCAATAGTATTGAGTGATCGAAAGTAATATGACGTCGATTGTCAAACGTGTGAAGCATTGCCAGAAACTCCTCTTTGTTCTGAGTGTTAAATCCATGTTGTTTAGATGGCCTAGAACGACGTTGTGTAAGCAAAAAATCGATAGGGTAATTAACATCTTCGCATCGAAATGTCGGATCCACCAGGCACTCGTGCAAATCCTTACATTGATCAACTGCTTTACTGTAAAAGTGTTCATCTGAAACATCCAGACAATCTGGATAGACCGGATCATCATTTAAAAACTGTTCCGGTATACACATTCCATTGTGACATCTATACTGATCGTTTTCGCATTCATTTTTTTCAAGTTCAAAACAATTGGTTTCATCAACTCCAGATCCTATACAATGAATTTGTCCATCACATATTTCATGCCAGTCGAGGCACATAGGTGTTGGTCCTCGATTACATTTCAAATGTTCATAACAGGTCATATTAGTAATCCTAGGTAATATAAGACGTAAATCACAATCTTTTGTATATTTTGCTTCAAAAGTTTGTTTTACAATATTGTCAAAAGTAGCATCCAAATTAAATGTATACTGACAAAAAGATCCAAACCATGATGATGTACAATTGTAAAACTCTTCGGATTCCAAAGATGAATTTAACGTTGCTATATACTGTTCATATCGTTCGATCAAATCAACTGGCGCTGACCATGACAATAAATCTGAAGTACTGATATTTTGCTTGCTCAATTCTCCGAATGTAAATACTGACAAAATACTTCCGTTTATCAGTGTTTTATGATCCTTGTTTTGACTTTCAGTTGGACGAATACAATATTGAATAATTTGATATGGAATTCGATAATCTGTTTTTACGTTTAGCTTCACTATAGGATCTAGCGCTTTATAATACAAGCAATCGTAGTACCAATTAGTGTCATTTGCATAATGTGTATAATACAGATTAAATTGTGTTTGAGTTTTCGATAATAACAAATAAAAAGTCAAAAAGATAATATATGAATTCATGATCTTCAATGTTAAATAGCTTTCTTCTAACTGACTACAGATTTACTTTTTCTCTATGCTAAATAATTTCTTCTTGTACGTGCTGTGATGTTCATTTTCATTCTCATCAAATATATGATTAACAAATAAGTTACAGCACGATGTCTCTCAGTTAATCACGCAGAATTGCGCTAACATTTTTTTTATTCAAAAGATATATGAAGTAATCGGAGAAATGATTGAAACCTGATAACATTTAAAAAAACTAGTGACATTTCTAAATGGAATCGGATCTCAAATGACTCATGCTATGTAACTACTTGTTACAATTCTTGTGGGTGTGGGTGTGGGGTATGGGGTGTGGGGTGTGGGGTGTGGATGTGGGTGTGGGTGTGGGTGTGGGTGTGGGTGTGGGTGTGGGTGTGAAGAAAGAAGAGATATCTACCTTTACATTCACTCACACCCAAACTCACATCCACTCACATCTTCAAGAATTTCTTAAAGTAACAGAGGCATGAATAGATTGCAACGAAATCCAAAGTAAAAACAATTAATCTTCTTCACATGCAAAAATTTATCTACCAATAATAAAGATAACATTGAAAGAAAAGATCAAAGGACATAATCTTTCTAAATTCTATAGTGATTACACTAAACCGTTCAGAACAATTCTTGTTCGATTTATTTTAATTTATTTTCATGAAAAAATTGAGCATGGAAAATAAATAATGATAGAGCTCAAGTGATGACAATGCGTTGCACGAGACTAACAGATCCAGGGGAAGAAGCGCCTAAGTCTTCAAAAATTGTGAGCAAATTGTTCTTAGGCATCAACCAATCAGATGGAACATGATAGTAACGTTGACTTGGTTGTCCACAACGGATTTCACCTTGTAGACAGCAACATGGTACTGAACTCTGACAGCTACCTTCAATTAACCAGTAGAGATCAATATCGTTTCCATTAACAAAAGCATGGCCACGATTAAGACCAATTGCGTCGAGTAAAACTGGATTAGCATTGAGATCTTCTCGTGCAAGATGATTAAGATCGAAACGAGTCTGAAACCAGGTTACCGACTTGTTAACAGCCGTCGTCCATTTAGGATTCCATTCAACTGTTTTTGAGCCTTGCTCAGTATAAATCTGACGAGCTTCACCAAATAAACCTTTTTGATGTTCCCAAACATTTGTCTCATTACCGATTAATGATTGTCCATCGAGCGATACATTTCCCACAATACCTTTGTAATCAAAATGGCCTGGTCCGATATTAAAGTTGTCAATTCCAAGCGAAACCGAAAGGATCTCAAAGAGATACTGTTGATTTGGATGAAACTGTGAAAGATTGAGTGGAACATCAACTGTAATTGTGCCTTGTGCATGTTCAGAGTTATCAAAATTACCCAAGAATTGTCCGTCTAGGAAAAACAGTAAACTATTTGCTCGACGCGTTTGTACTTGAACGATTGTATGTGCAGATGGTCGAGAAAGTGAAATATTGCGACGATACCGGAGATAGATCGTTTCATCATTAGTTAAATTAAGTTGCTCCAGCGGATTCAAGGCGGTAATTTTAGGTAAGTTAGTCTGAGATGGTTCTACAAAGAATTGCCAATCAAGTGGGCCAGTGACAACAGGTACAATAACCGTGTTATTACTATTGATATTACTCACATTGGCACTATTCCATAGTAGATGCTGATTATAGTCATAGATTTGAACAGACTGAAGGGACATGGAAATATTCTGATTGTTGAAAAGAACAAACAGTTGTTCTTTAGCTTGGTTGATAAGGAAATGAACTGATGAAGGGTATGAGTAGACAAATTGTTGAGTACCTATTGCCCATTGTTTTCCATCCCAGTAGGGTACTGGCGATCGAACAGAATCTTGACTCAATATTACTTGCGCAAGTTCAGTGACAAGATGTTGAAGACGACCTAAATGAGTATACTTCGGCTCGTTCGGTGTACCATCAGCGCGAAGATGAACGTCATCCGAGTACGCAGTCGTCAGGCCTGATCCACCTGTTCGTCCGTAATGGTTACCACCATGCCACATATAGTACGATAGATAAGCACCACCGCCAGTAAACCATTCACCAGCTGAATAAGAAAGATCTTGAGGTGTTCGGATTCCTAATGCTTGACCCCATGGTTGAAACCAGCCCCAGTTTTCTGTGTAAAGCATCGGTTGATCAGGATGATCACGACGATGTTGATCCAACCAACCGTCATCAAAACAGTTACACCCGTTGCATGTTTCAATGGTCGAATTAGCTGCATGACCATTACACATTATCCAAGGAATTTGTGTTGAGGCAAACTCGTTAGTCACCAAACTACCACACCAATCGACATAGGCCATATCATCTCCATCGTATTCATTTTCAATTTGGGCAAGAATTATTGGTCCACCATTTTTAGCAAGAAATGGATCAACATACGTAACGATGTCTGACACGAATCGTTTCATTTCTCTTTTCCATGCTTCATTGTTTGAACGAAACGCAATATCAGGAACATTGTTTAGCCAGACAGGTAAACCACCATAGTCCCATTCAGCACATACATAGGGACCAATTCGTAAATTAACGAACAATCCCGCGTTAGCTGCATCTTGAAGAAATTGACTTAAATTAGCACGACCACTAAAATCATAGGTGCCACGTTTTTGTTCGTGTATATTCCAGAATACATAGGTTTGTACTGTATTAAGACCGTTTTGTTTTGTCATGGACATTATATAGGGCCACATGCCAGGTATTGATTGTGATCGCTCGATGATCATACGATACTTTATAAGCTATGCCTCGAACTTGATCATAAGTTATTGGGCTTGCAATAATGTTAGCCCACCCGAGAACTCCAAGATAAAATACAGTTAACAGTTGCATCTCACTTATAATAATGATATACGAAATAAACAGTAGATGTAAATCTTATTCTTTTTCTTTATCTTTCCATTGCAGCACATGGAAAAAAAGGGAGAGACCAGTTCTTCACACGTTGTAACTCAGTGAGATAAGATAGCAAAAGATAATTTGCTTCAAGATGTGTTTTGTAAGATGTGACTAAACTTCTAGTGAATATATTAAATTTTTATAATATAAATGTCAGAAATACCACTTCAAATAAAATTACAAATACATTTATGATTACTATAAAAAACTTAATCAAATTATTATATAGTTTGTCTATGGTACGATCGGCATGTCTTCATAGTTTTCATGTATAGTCAATTTTTCACAAAAGTTCTTGATTACTTCTTTATACCGTTGTTTTTCACATTATATATGCTCTTACAAGAATTCTTACATACGCCAATTTCGTAAGTCCGTAGTTGATTGATGATGACTTAAAAAAGAAGAAAAGCATATAAATAAAGGAGAAAATAAAACTTAATAACGACACAAATAAAAAAAAATGGAACAAACTAACGTTAATGGTTTCTTAGATTCTAGAAAATAAAGTAATGAATAAATATTGTTCTTTGCTTTCTTATCTTAAAAAATGTTTCATTTCTATTGACTTCCGGATCTCCTTTTTCGGACAATTTTAATCTTCCATAAAAAGAGCTATTGTAAAGTACATTTATGAAGTCACATTCAAAGTCATAGATTTTAAAGCAAACTAAAAGGAACAAGTAAGTAAACATAAGAGTAGGTGGAAAGAAAGAGAAATATATAGAAGAACAAAATCGTTAGTTTTATTTCATTTTTACTTCTTTAATCGAGTTAATTGAGGGTGCGTGTAAGCATAAATGTGTAGATTAAGTGAGTGACGACAGATTGTATCGAAAATTATTATTTTGATTATAGTAATGTTCAAAATAAAGAAAGTCAAAGTAATATTGACAAGGTATTTTTATATAATTTCATCTTTGAAAAAAAAGTACAACAAATAATTATATCCACATCTTTCATACCCGATAAGTGCAATCAAATAAAAATAAATTACATTCTTCTTCTATGTTGTCAGATTATTGATCGAATGCTTTAATTTCGAAAAGAAACTAGAATAACAATGTATTTTGCTCGATTTAAAAAAAGTGTTCATCATAAATACTACAATAAACTATTTTATTTAATTCGTTTGTTATTAAAAGAACTTTGCTTTTCAACCAATATTTTTCTAATCTGTCATTGTAGCATAAAAGAAATATGATTGTATATTTGTTTTGCATAGATGGAAGCCGAAAAAGAATGTAATCAAACATGTTATTTAAAAAAAAGAAAGTTAAAATAAATGCAAACAAAATATCTGGTTAAACTTCATTTTATTCATTTGTTGAAAATATTTGATACATTAGAGTGAAGCTATATTCTTTCATCAATGAATAATACTGGGTTTGTTCGAGAAGACGATTTCGTATCTCCAATCGAGAATTCAAGTGATATTATTCAGGCACAAATCGATGTAATCAATACAACTGCTGATGTTTTTATGCCAGTTAGTGATTGGCGTTCAAAACTTCGTAAATTATGGAATGATTATCATTGGCAAATGCGACATTATTTTTATATTCATCTTTCTGTATTCTTTTGTAATACACTTATATGTGGTGCTATTGTATGGAAAATTGAAGAATATCAAATACCTTATGTTGATTGTTGGTTTATTAGTGCAACATGTGTATTTACATGTGGATTACAAACAGTTGCTTATGCTGATTTTAGTCAACCATCACAAATTCTTCTTCTAATATTTACAATGATTTCTGGTAAGTAGTTCTTGAATCAAAAAAAAATAATTAAGATTATTTTTCTTTTTAGGTATTACTGTAAGTACAATTCCAGCTGTTTTAATTAAAATTTATCGAGCAAAACGAGATAAAAATAATAATGAAGAAATATCATCATCATCGTCATCAACAAATGATAATAATGAATTAGTAATTCGACAGTTTCTTCGTCGGGAAACATTGGATCCTACGTTAGATGGACAACTTCGATCATTGCCTAATTCACAACATCTTCGTGTTAGAGCTTATATCATGTTGATTGTAATCATTCTTTCAACTTGTTTTATGATTTATCTGATTTCATTTCTTGCTATGGGTTTTTGGTTAAAATATCATTATGATCCAATAGATTTATTACAAGCAAATCAAACAATGAATCCATTCTATGCTTCATTAATTCTTACTATTACTAGTTTCAATCAAAATGGACTTTCACCTTGGTAATAAGATATATATTTTTATAGAAAATAAAAATAAAATCTTTTCTTGTTTTTTTAGGGATAATGGTATGACTTTATTTGTTACAGATATATTTATGAATATTTTCATTATGCTTGCTGTCATATCTGGAACATCATTATTTCCAGCTATTCTTCGTGGTGTTATTGTTCTACTCAAACATTTTTCACCGTAAAACTTTTCATATTTTTTATTATTATTATTAATGATTATTTTATTTATAGTTGGAAATACAAAATCTTTTTTGATTATATCTTATTGAACAATCATCGTTTGTCCGCTGTCATTTTTCCATCAATTCAAACACGTCTCTATGTCTCTGTTACTATTTTAATGCAAATACGTAAATTGATTCTCATATTAATCATTTCTTTTTTTTTATTGTTCTTCTTTCATTTCAGTTGGAGTAACAGTAGCATTAATATTAGATTTTCATAATGAAAAGTTAGCTATGTATGATGGAGGAGAAAAATTTATGATATTTATGTTTCAAGTAGTCAATACACGTTTTGGAGGTAATTTTAATTTTGAAAAATAAATAAAAAATTATTATTTATTATATTTAAGGTTATGCAACTATTACTATTACTGATCTCTCTGCAGCAACATTGCTTATCTTTGTTCTTTTAATGGGCATCAAACCTCAAATGGTATATTTCTAATATAGGCATGTGTTGTATTAAAGAAAATAATCTTTTTTTTTCGTTTTTAGTTATGTACAATCAATGAAACACCATTTGAAATGGAATGGGTTCTTCTTCAAACACAACAACAAATTGAAAATAAAGTATCACATAGTAATGGACAGACTAGTGTTGATATATTTTTACCAGTTAATCGAATGAAACATTATCTTTTACGACAAGGTTCATTAACAAAAGCAGAAGCTAAAAATTATTTTGTAAGAAAAAGTCGAGCTGAAGCAAGTATCAATGAATTAACTGAAAGACGTGTTCAACGTCGTATGAGTGCTATGTCTGCTGGTGGATATATATCAATAGAAGGATTTGATGATAAATTAACAAATAATATTCATATTTCTCTTCTTCGAATGAAATTATTATTAATTATATTTTGTCGACATGTTGTTCTTAGTTTATTTAGTCTTCTTACGTCAACACGAACATGGCTATTTATTGTTGTCTTTCTTATTTGTTGTTTTGAAGCACCTCGTGTCATACCAAGTAATCCACAAATTACTGTTTTTCGTATTATATTCGAAGTTATCAGTGCTTTTGGTGGTTGTGGACTTTCATTAGGATTTTCAAATATAACGTCGAGTCTTGCTACTGTACTTAGTACACCGAGCAAAATCTCATTAATATTAGTAATGTGTATGGGTAGACATCGAGGTCTACTCGATTCAATGAAAGATCAAGAATGTATTGAATATAGTGCACAAACATTGATCGATAGTTGGAAACAAGTTGCCATATTTGAATACAATGAAAAGAAAATCATGAAGATTCGAAAACAAATCCCACCAATGTCGGCTACCATTATCAAAACAACATCACCAGTGACTACACGATTTTAACATCGATCTTTTCAGTGGTGTTATTGACAATAATGTTTAAATCAAAACTTATAGATATTAGTATTCTTTTTTTTATGTTTCGAAGAAAAGTGATTCCTATAGATCATTTATTTTTGATTCGATTGTAAAATTTACGATGAATAACATATTGAGGGTGGGTGTGGGTGTGCGTGTTTCTTCTTCAACGATAGTCACACCCAAACTCACCCCCGGTCTATGATATTCTGTCGGTCACATCTGTGAGAGGTAGTGGGCACAAATTCCTGCCTCTAAACACTTCAACACTCCTTTCAGATCGTGTTTCACAAAAAATTGAAGATAGGATAATAATCAAAATAATATAAAATACATAAATGCTAAGTTTTTATCTATTGAATAAATCAAATATATGACTTTTTAATTAACGAAATCTTAAATTTATGTTAATTGTAAGTTTATGTATATTCAAAAGTTTTCGAAGCGTAGTTCATGATTACTTTAACGAAGTATAATCGAAAAATAATACATATGCCCAACAAAATTTTACTTTGTAATTTATAATTCATTGCTTATACAATGAAAAACATCCTTCACTCTCTATAAATACAAAATGTGATAACTAGAGAATATGATAACTAGAGAATGTGATAATAATGATTGGAGATATTATCTGATATCTTTAGAGTATAAGTTACTGGGAAATGTTCTTGACATCTTCATCAAAAATTACTCTTCTCCATATCCTTGAATTCTGATGTATACAGAATCTGTTGTTTAGATTCGAATAAAAAAATATCTTTGTGTCAAAGAAGTTTGTCGCGTCTCATATGTATTCTACTCACTCTGAGTCTTTTTTCACAAAGCGATATTAACAACTCTTATAATTTTAAGTCGCTGTTTATAGTGATAAAATGGTTCGATGTTCCTTGATGTATTTGAGTTAATGTGAAAGAGTGAGAATACGGGTATCCACATTTTCTATCTTCAGTCTAGCAAGCATACAACAACAGATTCAGAGAAGCTAATTAAAAATTAAATCATGAGTTACAATCAACGAATAGAATTTGGCTATTGAATGAGATAATTTTTTAGAAAATATTTCTTAAGATCGATAATATAATTTAATATCCGTTGTGTTTTCAATGAATAAAGCTTTACACGAAAAAAGCATATGAGCCGAGAAAAATAATTACAGAATTGTTAATATAAGATTGTGACAGTTGTGCAATGTTATGTTAGATACTTATAAGCGGAAATAATTTTCTAAATAGATATCAGGAACAATGTAACGCAAAGAAAAAAAAATAAAAGAATTATTTAATGTCTTTATATCGAGGTACGTAGTTAATTTTTATTTGAAGAATGTGCTTTTATCTTTCAGAAAACAACGGTAAAGATATATAAAAGGATATCAAAAGGTATTGTAGTTGAATAAGAAAAAAATATCAGAAAGTTTTTGACGTATATTAAAATGAAAATGAGTTTTTTTCTGATATTATTCGTATTGTGAATGAATGCAAGTCAATGATTCATCTCATACATAATCAAACTACAGTTACATTTACCCAGTCATGAACAGGCTCTGATAAAAACCTGATATCTTTTCAGTCGACAAAATAGTGTGGGCTATCCTTTAAAAAAATCTTTGATAGGATCATATCTGATTCTGACGGTGTAGGCGCGTGAGTATTATATCTACTCCTCATCCATAGTTCTACTATTGATCTCAATATTTCCTCTAACCCTCTATGTAGATGTATATGAAATATATCATAGTATCATCTTTCTATTAACACATATTGAATTCGCTCACAATGATATTTAATGCAGGAAAAGAAAAGTAAATATATTTTATATAATTAAACTCTTTTCTTTGCATAATATAAACATCTTGAAAATACCATTTCAAATTCTCATTTCTTCCAGACGATATGTCCTTGAAATGACTTTCCCTTTTCATCGAATAGGGAAATATTCAATACCTCTTCAGTTATTCAATTTGTCATAGAATAATTAAGAATTTTCTATTAGAATCCTCTTGTTGTGTCGCTACATTATAAAATAAAATAATAAACCGTGGTTCTAAGTGCAAGTTACCATTTACCTAGCCTCATATAACGCATTCTGATTAAAGAAAAAATAAATTAAACTTCATCATATTTCAAAAAGAAAATTTCATCGTTCAATAATTGATACACATCACAATGAAAAAGATTAAATTACAGAAAGTGTTTATTTATCATAACATTAGCTATCTCAGTGAGAAATCTAAAGTTTCTAACATACTAAAGTAAATAAATGTTTGTTGCTTAATTCTTTTCTGAGATCGAGATAAATAATGGGAGAGAATAAGAGAGCTGTTGTAAAGTACATTTATATGATTGTTCTAGGTATTTCTTGTCCATTTATGAAGTCATATCGAAACTCATAGATTCTGAAGTAAATAAAAAGAGAAAAGTACGTAAACGCAAGAACAGGTGGAAGGAAAGAGAAATGTATAGAAGAACAAAATTGTTAGTTTTACTTCATTTCTACTTCTCCAATTGAGTAACTCGGTAGAAATATTCTATTTTGACAGTCTTCGCTTCAGTATTTTTACTAATCATCATCATTGAACAAAGTGAAAAGGAACAGTAGTTCATTTGTTCACAATGGTATCAATTGGTAATTTAAATATATGGATAATTCTGATGATCATTGGACAAATATCAGGTAAGAAGACAGTAAATTCTGTGAAATGTAATAAAACTATGTCTCAATATTTGTGAGGATGTGAATGTTGACCTTTGTTAATGTCTTCATCCACACCATAGAAACCTACTTTAAAAACGTTCTTTTTTCATGATAATGATGGAATAAAACGAGAGAAAACGTGAAATAGTAGTTATCGCTGTATTGTTGCATTTTATTTCATTCAAAGTTATATTTATTTTTTTCAAGTAACAGTTTTGTTAAGTATGGTTCGAAGCAGAAGTTGTTTATTGTTTCTTCTTGTTTTTATTGCAGAATCAGCCGTACAAGATATACACTCATTTTATATGTCTAAAATGGATGGTTGGGTATTCCAATGTGCTACCACATCTTGTTCACCATTTTTCACTATGGTTGTATCAGATGTTTTCAACTGCGAAGCACTCTGTTTAGCTCAAGTTCAATGCAAAGCAGTCAGTTTTAAACGATCAACTTCTGACTGTCAAGTGTTTGTTAATATAACAAACCAAAATAGCAATATGTTGGCTGATATGAACACTATTACTATGATTGTGATGGATCAAACACGATTCCCATCTGGTTAGTACGAATATACCACTATTAAAGATATAGCAGAGAAACAAAAAACATTTCTGCTTTAAATTGATTGGAAACTGGTAGCCATATCGGGTAAAACCATTCGAAAACAATCATATAAGAACCACTAGTGACTGTACATCACGTATCTCTAGAAATGTATTCAAAACGTTGTTTGTAGAATATCGCATATGATATTATAATCATACCGGTCTGACTCACTTAAATTAGCCTTGTCTAAAGGCCACACTAGAGTAAATGATGTTTCTGACCGTTCAAATTTATTATATTCTAGAACTTAAATAAACGTATGATTCTCTCAAGACTAAGTGGTTCTTTCTTACATTTCAGATAGAACCTTGCTCATCGATACTCTCCGCTTGAGCTCGTATTTTTTTCTTTTGCAGGTATCATAGTGCCGATAAAAACTCTGAAAGGATTAGTCTACGGTCTTTTTCATTTCAAATTGAATTTTGGCGACAAAAAAGAGCGTCTGTTTTTGAAATCTCCGGATTTTGTGGCTCTTCACAAATCAAGTATACTCACACAATATCACCTATTTTTATAGAAAAATATTTCAGCGTCTAGATTAGCCTATGCATAGTATATATCTTTTATCTCTTTTGGGCTGTCGGTCTTCGAATATTTAAATATATAGAATATATATGGTAGTATATGATGCCTATATTTTTTAGTTTGCGAATTTCTCACTATAGGTCTGGCTGTAGGTAAGTGTGAGTGTATGTGAGATAGAAATGTAAAACGATGCTTGAGAATCAGAATGTTAAAATTAGTGTCACATTTTATTATATATGGATTCATATAATCTGAGGTGTTAGTCGATCGATTGAGCCGCTACCATTACTAATTTTGGAAGAAAATTTGCAGTCGCCGCCGACAGTAATACTATTTAACAGAGTCGGGTGTCGGTGAGGGTATTTCTCTCTTTTATCTCAGGTACCCCACCCTCATCCATCCATCTCAATAGTGTGGAACAAAACATATTGTTAATCTATCAGAAAGTGCTGAATTCTAACTAAAACTTATCTAATCTTCTTGCCACATATGAATTCCATTTTCCTAAAGTAGAATCAACCACGTCATCATCATCAACAACAACAACATCAACATCAACAACATCGTCATCTGTTAATATCCCAGATACTGGACTTGGACGCTAAACCAAAACTAACTTGTGTCTTCTCGTCTCACTGGCTTAGGACATCTGCCTAGATAACAGAATATATGTACTTGGAGTCCCATGAAGGACAGCTTTTTCTTCGTTCAGTCACATAACATCTGTGACACTGGTCACTTTACAGCTCTACACATATGGGAGCTAACATCATTTTTGACGACCATCATTTGGCCGCTCAATATAAATCTCGTGATTGCACCAAAAAGTTTATTTTTACTAAAATACTACAAAATCAGAATAAATGAAGATCAAAAAATGTTATTTCTTCTCTAAGTGTACTATTTGAGAAAAAGATTAAAAACGACACACATGATATTTTCAGTAATTTTTTAAAGTACGTGAAACGTAGATATTTGGTCAAATACAATTGAATTTTTCAAAATACAAAATGAAGAGAATGACTATGTATTAATGAGTCATGTGAACGAGGATGAAGAGCATGATAGTATATAACTTTTATCAAATAGATCTAAACAACAACAACAGATCAATATTTTGATTGCATAAACTGGATTGTTAAATGTAATTTACTGCCAGAAATTAGCGTGTATGTAGATGTGGGCTACATTCTGTTCTTCATACACGCCTACTCACACCATCTTGAGGGCTGATGTATTTATGGGTAGTTATGGGTGTGGAGACTTGTTATTCATGTATACTCTTGTCAATACCCACATCTATAGTCACACTCATACGCACCCAAACTTCGTCTGTTCGCAGTTGATCGATGATGTTGATTTAAAAAAAGAAGAAGAAAAGCATATAAACAAAGGAGAAAATAAAACTTAATAACGATACAAATAAGAAAAACTGAAACAAACTGACGCTACTGGCTTCCTGAATTCTAGAAAATAAAGTAATGAATAAATATTTTTCTTTATGTTCTTGTCTTGAAAAATGTTTCATTTCTATTGAGTTTCGGAAAATCATACTTTGTTTTTTTTTCGGATTTCTTTTGTCGGACAATATTAAAACAACTAAAAAGGGTGGGTGTGGGTGTGGGTGGATGTGGGTGTAGATACTTGTTGTTTATATAGGGAAAGAGACATTTCGCACCCACTTTTTCTTACGATTTCCCTTAGAAAATGTTTGTTACGATTTCCCGACATGTAAAAATAAACAAAATCTTCGGAATGACAAAGATTTAAAACAAGCAGGGTGTTACAGTGGGTGTGAGTGTGGATATATAAGCCATTCTTTTTTCATACTACACACCCACACCCTCACACCTACACTCACATCCTCACACCTACACTCACATCCACCCCCACCCACACCCTCACCCACACCCTCACACCCACATCCACACCCACCCACACCCTCACACCCACCCACACCCTCACCCACACCCTCACCCACACCCTCACCCACACCCTTACCCTCACCCTCACCCTCACCCTCTTAGATTCTAGAAAATAAAGTAATGAACAAATATTGTTCTTTACTTTCTTGTCTTAAAAAATGTTTCATTTCTATTGACTTTCGCAAAATCATACTTTATTTTGTTTCGGATCTCTTTTATCAGACAATTTTAAAACAACACAAAAATCATGAGAACTTTAGTCTCCCCATAAAGTAACAATTTCATTGTATCTCAACTTATACCAGTATATCTAACAAATCTTTTCTTCACCTTATTCTTCTTTATTTGCAGTTGAAGTAGGAAAAAATAAATCAAACTTCATCGTGTCTTTCAAAAAATTTCTTTTTTTTTCTTTTAAAAAATTATACACATTATAATGAAGAAGATTAAATTACAAAAAATATTTGTTTGTCATCACATTAACCATTTCAACGAGAAATCTGAAGTTATTATGTTTTGGTTGAATTTTTTAATAGACACTAAAATAAATAAGTGTTTGTTGCTCAATTCTTTTCTGAGATCGAGGTAAATAATGGGAAAAAATAGAAAGTTATTGAAAACAACACTCATCTGATTTTTCCCGGAATTTCTTGTCCATTTATGAAGTCACATTCAACGTCATAGATTTTGAAGTAAATAAAAAGAGAAAAATAAATAAACGCAAGAGAGTAGGTGGAAAGAAAGTAAAATATATAGAAGGACAAAATTGTTAGTTTCACTTCATTTCTGCTTCTCTAATTGAGTAACTCGGTAGAAATATTCTATTTTGACAGTCTTCACTTCAGTATTTTTACTAATCATCATTAGTGAACAAGGTGAAAACGAACAGTAGTTCATTTGTTCACAATGGTATCACTTAGTAATTTGAATATATGGATAATTCTGATGATCATTGGACATATATCAGGTAAGTAAGAAATAAATTCTGTGAAATGTAATAAAACTATATTTCAATATTTGTGAGGATGTGAATGTTGACCTTATCAATGTCTTCACTCACATTCTAGTGCACAATATTTATTTCAACAATCCATAGAAAACTAATTAAAAAAAGTTTTCTGTTAATCAAAACGAATAGATAAAGATACATTTTTATATATATATAATTTATGAGAATGTGCGTATGTTAATCTTTATTCCAATTTCGTCTATAAACATATTCTAACTATTTATGTTGTATAGATAGGCTTTGGGTGTATAGTATGAAAGAAGAATGACTTATACACCCATACCACACCTCGCCCCTAAGAAAAGAACAGATCATTGAATTCAGTTTTCGAAGAAAAGGAACTGACAACTGTCACATATCTATTCTTAATGATATACTAATATGTTTATATATCTGAACACTTTTTTCTTTCTATTTAGTAATAACATCAAGCACACCAATAGTCTCTCCTCAGTGTTACAATTACACACTGATTAATGATCCTACAAGAAGCGTGAATGTAACCACTAGTGGTGGTTGTGATCAATCTTTATTCAATTCTAGTGCAATGTGGGTTCGTTTCGTTGGCGTAGGTGGTACAAAAATTCCAACAAGCCCAGTTGCAGTCGAACGATGTGGTACCATCGCAACAGGCTGGTATTCAGGACAAATGCCCACTAGCGTGAATACCACTATGAATGGAACTGTATGTTATGCATTTGGATCTAGCAATTGCACTATGAATAATAGGATTAGTGTGACTAATTGTGGATCTTATTACGTTTATCAGTTAAGTGCACCTCCACAGTGCGATTTACGCTACTGTACCGACATACCAGGTGTTTGGATAACAGATACAACAATAACGCCCATAGAAGGTAAATAATCATTCCAACTATAGGATATGCCATTATAAATGACTATGAAATAGTATATTACTGTGCTAGTTCTTGCCGTAATCCGTCCTTCCAAAAAATGAGTCATTTTTTGATAGAAAGGAGCCATTGTTTTCTATACTACTTGTGCCGCTTTGTATGATTTGTATTTTTTTTAGTCGTCGATAATTGAATATTTTTATATAGAAAGTAAAAAAGTCATTCGATAACAAGAATATCAGTTTCTGTGAATCTCTTTGGATTCCGAAGTAGACGATTAACAATTTTCAATCAAAAAATTAAACTGATTTTCCTGATGATTGCTTAAAAAATAACTAAATGCAGTTCATACGAAAAGGACTAGAAATGATGATCAACGCAGTATGAAACAAGGAACTAAAAAGGGTATTGAAATAGGTAGGAGTAGAAATTTGGATGAGCGGCATGTGACATATATAATAGATGTCATATAAAACTCTCGTTTACAATGGATGTAAGCATCTTGATTGTCTTTCACATTTTTATCTTCATAGGGATTGCGCTAACAGATTACATATATATATCAAGATATGTGCCGATGCTTCTCGATGCGCAGATTCGAGATGATTTATTCTCACTAAGTTCCAAACTAAACTGGATCCGACTCAGTTGAATCTAGTTTATGTGCGAAGAACGTGCTACGAAATTCATTTTACATAAACAAAGGATGAGGTATTCGATTCGAATCCCGAAAAACGGGACTGAATAGGGATATACCGAGCCCGAGTCCTAACCGATCCTCTCGGGCTCGGGCACCGTCAAGGCTCAGGTGTGAGGATGGGCGTGGATGTGGTGAGTGCGGGTACTATCCTTTCCACACTCACCCATAGCCAACCGCTCCCACACGCATCTCCAGGACTGACAACTGTCACATATCTATTGTTAATAATACACTAATTTGTTTCTATACTTGAATACGGCTTCCTCTCTATTTAGTTATAACGTCAAGTACACCAATAGTCTCTTCTCAATGTTACAATTATACGCTGATCAATGATCCTACAAACAGCGTTAATGTAACCACTAATATTAGTGTGATTGATTGTGGATCTTATTACGTTTATCAATTATGTGCACCTCCAGGCTGCCAATTACGCTACTGTACTGATATACCAGGTGTTTGGATAACAGATGCAACAATAGTCCCGATAGCAGGTAAATGGTCATCCCAGCTAAACAAAAAATGAGTCATTTTTAGCTAGAAAGGAGCCCTCGTTTTCCCCATTAGTTTTAGCGCTTTTCGAGATAACGACATGGTAGCACCAACTTTTGTCAATTTATATCACCTGTATGTTGTTTTAGTCGTCGATAATTGAATATTTTTATATCAAAAGTCAAAAAGTCATTCGGTAGCAAGAATTTCAGTTTCTTTGAATCTCTGTGGATTTTCAATCAAAAAAATAAGCTGATTTGCTTGATCATCACTTAAAAAATAACTAAAAAGGGTGTTGAAATAAGTAGGAATAGAAATTTGGATGAGTGGCATGTGACATATATAATAGATGTCATATAAAACTCTCGTTTACAACGGATGTAAACACCTTAATTGTCTTTCACATTCTTATTCTCTTTTGATATGTCAATCCTAACTACAAATTCATGAATTTATTGAAAAATATTTCTAGGACAAATAACAAGTATGGCAACATCAACAATTTCGTCTATTAATTCAAGTAATCAGTTAAATAGGAAAATCATTTCTTTGAATATTTGATCTATTTTTAGTATGTTTACCACCTATAATTACACTTATACCTGGAGCATTATTATTATCATCTCCAATAGAATTTCGACGAAGTCAAGATTTCTGTATTAGTTCAATAATTCAGTTCAATTGTAACATTTCATTTTCGACGACTACACAATGGGAAATTAAAAATTGTTCTTTAAATTGTTCACATAAAATTACATTAGATCAACAAATAATAACGACACTTAGTGAATTATATATTCCAGCAAGAACACTGGCTTATGGACTTTATCAATTACAGTTAACTGTAACAATGATTAATTCACCAAGTATAACAACAATAACATCATCAGTTTATGTTCGAATAACTCCATCAGGTATAACAGCAAATCTTGTTCAATTAGGAACATCAATGATTACACGTGGCGATCAACAAGATCTTAAACTTGATCCAGGAACATTTTCTGTTAATCCTGATGATGATTCATTTGATGCAACTGTAAATACATCGTTTTTAAATATTTCTAAAACCTTTCTTAATTTTCTAGAAATGGAAATATGAATATTATTGTCGAATTTATGGTTTATATATGTTTCCAAATTTCCAAGGAGCATTATTATCAATAGATGATTCAAGAATTGATCCTTATAATCCATCATGTTTATCAAATCAAACAGGTAAAATTGATTTTAATGTGTATTCTAATAATTTTGTTATAATATAGGAAATAAAACAGAATTGAAATTTGATGGTGTTGGCTTATTATCAAAATCATCTGTAACAATTCTTGCTGGTTCATTAAAATCCAATCGAACATATCAATTTATGGTTCAAATGGAAAATCTTCGAAATTCTTCAATTCAAGCCACAGGTTATGTGCTTGTTACAGTTGTAGATACTCGTCCACAAATGGTTCTTATTGGGTAAATGATTACATTTATATCATTCAATTTTTCACATATCTTTCATTTAGTTGTGTTATTTGGACGATGTGTGTTCCAAATTTAGAATTTCAATTTGTTAATCCAACAACACAAGTTGCACTATTTGCTATTTGTAATGGAAATTGTACAACTCTGGAAAATATCATTTGGAATGTCTATCAAGGATCATCAAATTCATCTTCAAATGTCACTCAATGGATTTTATTTAATCAAATGAATACATATGAAAATATTTGGTTTTTCGGTAGAAATACAAGTAATTTTACTGCAACAAATCAATTATTTCTCAATAATCCTCAAATTGATCTTTGGCGATTTGAAGTTGTTTATAACTTTACATTTGAAACAAGTTTAAGTTCATTAAATTTTATTATCAATCAACCTCCTTATAATGGTTCATGTTCAATGAATCCTTCAAATGGTACAACAAGTACTTTATTTACTATTGAATGTCCAAATTGGTATGATGAAGATGATGTTAAAGATTATTCACTTTATAGTAAGTCAACTTCATTTAATAAAGAAAATAATACTTTTTTTCATTTTAGTTTGGACAACAGATCAAAGAGAACGAATGATGATTGCATTTTCATCAGTATCAACTTTTCAAGTTTATTTACCAGCTGGACTAAGTCATACGATAATGTATATTCGTGATACTCTTGAATGTACCGCAGAATTTAATATGTCATCTATTAATGTCACAACAGATTTTGATACAATTAATGATTTAATCAATAATATACAAAACCCAACAAACAATCCATTGATAAACATTCTCGTTGGTGGAAATCAAAATTTGGTTGGACAAGTGATTGTTTCCGTATCACAACAGTTTAATCAAATGAATAATGAAAGCATAGACAGCGCTGTTTCGAGTAAATATTTAAAATTATTATATTATAAGGATAATCTTTTCTTTTAAGATGGTATTCCAGCTACAAGTATATCTATATCATCCTTAGGAAGTCAATCTTCACAAGAGGTAATTTTATCTGAGATATGTTTCATGTTGTTATTAAATCTATATATAGATTTCTACTCCGATGAATGACTCAGCTTTGATCGAATATAACAAACAGTTAAATTCTCTTGCAAATGTACGCGATCAACTTATAAAATATCTGGTTGATCTTCAAGTTTCTGATTCAAATAGTCTTAAGTTACAATCATTATCCTTAGCACAATTTAGTGGATCAACAAATCAATTGACACGAACAGTTTTAGTAAGATTTGATTTTTTAATTATTTTTTAATAAATAAAAAGTAATTAATTAGATGCTTGTATCGAATAAATGTTATCAATTATCTCTTACTTTACGTTCGATGGCAACATTAATTGCATATGAAGATGTTCAAATAATTGCAAGTCAACTTATCCAATGCGCTACTAATATTTTAAGTGTAAGATATTTTTCTTGAATAATAAAAATGAATACGTTTTTAATTAAGGCTGTCAATGGACCATTACAAGAACGAACACTTGTATTGGATTTAGATTCATCTCGTGCAACAGCATTTCCGACAGATTATGATACTGATATTGAATCAGAATGGTCAAATCCAAGTAAGTTTATCTTTGATTAAATGATGATTTATGTTTAGGATGTTATAGATTTATTTGCTAATGGAAATGATTTTTCATGGAAAACAATTGAGCAAGGTCGAAATACTTATTATCAAAAGCAATTGGCAACTACAATCAGTAATCAAATGAATGAACTGAAATCATTATTAACATCTACATTGAATATTCATATAAATATTGGTCAAAATTTAACAATAAATACACCATCATCATTTATGTCGTTAGAAACAATATCAATAGAATCTCTTTCAAATAAACAAATTCAACAAGTTGGAAATGCTCAAATTAATATGCCTGAACATGTTAATTCGGATATAAGTGACAATTCAGCAGTTATACTTAGAGTAAGTTTTTTTCTTTTCAATTAATTAGTTAATTTAATTGTTATATTTACAGTCAATAATGGAACCACTTGCTGCATATGGTAGTTCAAAATCTGCATTAGCAAATACAAATGTTTCAACATCAATATCACTTTCAGTTGTTGATCGTAATGGAAATGAAGTTACAATTAAAACAGATGAAACTAATCCAATTGAAATAATCATTCCTCATGATCCCAGTCTTATAATTCCATCAATGATTATTCAAAATGTTACATCCATAAATTCTACATTTCATAATCAATTATTTTCTTATCATTATATGAATATCACGAATATACTTCCAATTTCAGCTCATATTGAAATTAATCCATTGGAAATAAATATTTCTTATTTATTTATTTATAAATTTGATCAAATACCACAATTAAATACTTCAATAAATCAAATTGATGGATGGACTCTATTTTGTTCTGTTAATTCAACAAATGAAAGTATTTATACATATTTTATTAATAATCAACAAACACTTGGTCATCAATCAATTATATTTGGTTTAAGAGAATTAAATTCAACAGAAGTTGAAGATTTTTGTAGAAATTCTTCAATTGTAAATCCTCCAATAACAGATTTGAAATTTAATTTTACATCAAATTATGAACTTCGTATTTATACATCAGGTTGTTATTATCTCGATGAAAATAATCAATGGCAATCTGATGGATTAGTAGTTGGTCCATTAACAAATCATTATGAAACTCAATGTTTTTCAACACATTTAACAACATTTGCAAGTGGTTTTCATGTTTTTCCTGAATCGGTTAATTGGAATTATGTTTTTGCTAATGCTGATTTTATGAAAAATAAAACAATTTATTTAACAATTATTTGTGTATGTGTGATTTATGTCATTTTAATAATATTCTCCCGTTATAAAGACAAAAAAGATATTGAAAAATTAGGAGTAACACCATTACCTGATAATCATAAATCTGATAAATATTTTTATCAAATTATTGTTTTTACTGGTCAAAGAAAACATGCTGGAACAAAATCAAAAGTATGATTTCAAAGATATACGAATGTATCATTTTTTGAATTATATTGAAAAATAGGTTCATTTTGTATTGTCTGGTGATTCCGATACAACACATGTTCGTACATTTGCTGATCCACATCGACAGATATTTCAACGTGGTGGAATTGATTCATTTATTATGGCTGTTCCAAAGTAAAAGATTTGATTTGAAGAAAGAATAATCGAGTATTTGTTTAGATCTTTGGGATTATTAAATTGTATTCGTATTTGGCATGATAATAGTGGTCACGGTTCATCATCATCATGGTTTTTGAAATATTTAATTGTTCGTGATTTACAAACAATGGAAAAATTTCATTTTATTTCTCAACGTTGGTTTGCAGTTGAAAAAGAAGATGGAAATGTAAAGAAACTAGTTTTATAATATTGAAAATTCTTCTATTTTAAAATAGATTGAACGTGTTTTACCAATTGCTAGTGAAATAGAAAAGCAAGAATTTTCATATGTATTATCAAAAAAATCTTATCATAGTGTATCCGATGGTCATTTATGGTTTTCAATATTTTCTCGTCCACCATCAACTACATTTACACGTGTTCAACGATGTACTTGTTGTTTTGTTTTATTATTTATTTCAATGTTTTTAAATATAATGTATTATGATTTATCAAATGAAGCAAAAACAAATTCTGCTAGTTTATCATTTGATTCATCTTATATCAATCCTCAACAAGTATGTTGTGACTTTTTTATTTATTTTAATTTCATTATAATATTTTCAAGATAATAATTGGTATTATTGTTGAAGTATTTGCATTGATTCCAAGTCTTTTACTTGTTCAACTCTTTCGACGTCTTAGATCTCGTCGACAACAAATATCTCCATTACGTCAAGCTTTGTATTCAATAAAATCAAATTTAGACATGTTTGTAGAATTACAATCAAAAGAATCTATCTTAATTTTTTTTGTTTTTCAGTAAGAGAGAAAACCAACAAAAATTAGGAAGAACATTTCCATGGTGGTATATATTTATTGCATATGGATTTTCTATTCTATTAGTTGGCGTATCAGTCATTTTTATAATTGCTCGTGGAATTGAATTTGGTGATGAAAAAACTCAAAAATGGTTAATATCAATTCTAAGTGGATTTTTTTCATCTATTTTTTTGACACAACCTTTGAAGATTATAAGTTTAGCAATATTTTTTGCTTTTTTCTGTCGTAAGCCAAATGACGATAAAGAAGCAAATGAATATTTGAATGATGATCAATTTGATTTAAATGATGATGAAGAATATCTTCATTCCATTAAAGTTAATTCATTATTTCTATATCGATCACCGATACGTGCAAATCGTTTGAATAAAGGTGAAATTACTTTTGCACGTGATCAACGTTTGAAAGAAATTTATATGTGGTCAATTCTACGAGAAATATTTATTTATTCATGTTTCTTATCACTTCTTTGTACTGTAACATATTCAAATCATCATCCAAATGCATCTCTTCAAGTTAATCACTTACGAAACTATTTTTTGGATTCTGATTATACGCAGGTTTGTTTTTTTCTGTAATAATGTATTTCATTTATCGTAATGAATGTCTATAGATTACAACAATAAATCAATATTGGTATTGGTTAGAAAATAGTTTTGTTGAAAATATTCGTGCTCAACAATGGTATAATGGTGATGCACCTCGAAATTTGAGTGGTTATATTAATGATAAGTCTAATCGATTAATTGGTTGGGCAACAATGAGACAATTACGTATTAAATCTCAATTATGTCAGGTTAAAAATGAAATAATTTCAACATGTCAATATGATTATAGTTCATCAAATGAAGATAAACATTCGTATCAACCAGGATGGTTCAATGAAACTATAGAAACGTATAGTTTATCCATTAGTCAATCATTTCAATACCAATCAAGTAAAGATTTAGATACATATACTTATGTTGGAGATTATGGAAATTATGAAGGTGGTGGTTATATTTATGAATTTCGAGGTAGTTTATCTGATCTTCAAAGTAATGTATCTCAACTACACACATTAGGATGGATTGATAATCAAACACGAGCTGTGATTATTGAATTAAGTTTATATAATCCAAATGCTCAATTATTTACATCAGTTATCTTTCTTACGGAATTTTTATCAACAGGTGGAATTTATCTTTCATCTCGTTTTGAACCAATGAATTTTGATGGTAATTTTCTTTTGATGATTAATAATAACATAATATTTCTTTCTCTTAAATTTAGCATTTATATCGATGTATCAATTGATCAGTATACTTGTTTATATGATAATGATTTTATATTTTATGTGGATAGAAAGTCGATTACTATTAAAATTAAAACGGAATTATTTTCATGGATTTTGGTCTTACATTGAAATTGGTATAATAGTTTGTTCATGGACAAGTGTTGGAATATATGTTTGGCGTTATAAAGAATGTCAACGTATTGGAGAATTATTTGAAGAAACAAATGGATATGTTTATATAAATTTACAATTAGCATCATATATTAATGATATATTAACATTTTTATTTGCATTTTGTTGTTTTTTTGGTACAATTAAATTTATTCGTCTATGTCGTTTTGATCAACGTCTGAATTTATTTATTCAAACACTTCAATATGCTGGAAAAGAATTAATTTCATTTGCAATGATGTTTTCAATGGTCTTTATATCATTTGTTTGTTTATTTTATTTATTATTTGTCTCAAAACTTGATGCATGTTCAAGCTTATTAAAAACATCACAAATGTTATTTGAAATGTCATTAATGAAATTTGATGCACATGAATTAAGTGGAGCTGCACCATTTTTGGGGCCATTTTGTTTGAGTTTATTTATTATTTTGGTTGTTTTTGTTTGTATAAGTATGTTTATTACGATTATTAGTGACAGTTTTCGTCGTGCACGAAAAAATCTTAATAATGATCAAGAAATATTTTCATATATGTTAAACAAATTTCAACGATGGACAGGTTTTACAAAATTTAGTTTATTGAAAGAAAAAAAAGATTTATTCATGTTTTAGGTTTAAAAAAAGCGAATGAAGAGGAGCGATATGCATTGATGCGACTAGAATATTTTGATCCAATTGAAGGTTTTCCAGAGAGAATTGATCAATTATTAGATGCAATTAATCGCGTATGTTTAATTGTGATTATAATGTACACTTATTGTTGTTGACTTTTTTAGCTTTATATGACACAAATAAGTGAAAGATCAAGAATGGAGAAAGACGAATTTTAAATATTATAATATTTTATGTTGTCTTAAATATTATGCTTTTCATGTTTAACCTTTTATTTATTTGTCAGTATGTGAGGATGGCTGTGATTGTTCGTTCGATCTACTTTGCTAAGCATAAATGTCTAGAGTGAATGAATGAGAAAAGAGTAACGACAGATCGTATTGAAAATATTTTTGTTGTAGTAATATTCAAAACAAAGAATATCATAGTCGTGTTCATGAAAAGTATATGAATATAATTAATATTGACAAATCTGTACTTTAGAAAAAAAATCACAAAAAACAATATATTTTGCTATATCTATGTGAATTAAATAAGATTTACGATAATCATTTTCGATACTATGCACATACAAGATATTTCTGATTATGCATTGTGAACTAAAGCGATTGAAGACTCTATAACAAACTGTTTTATTTGATTATATTAGTATTATTATTATTTCAACAAAGAAAGTGATAAAATTATTTTGGTTCTGCGTTTTCCTGCACATTTAACCAGTTTATTAGTAAAATAGCTTTGCATACTAATTAATACAAATTTAAGGGTGGGTGAGTGCGGATCATTTTCTTCTCTAGTCCACACGCACACCCACCCACACCCTCAAGATGAATGATTTGTTGAGATGAGATATGCTTAAAAATAAACATGAGTATCACATTTATGAATTAAAATTTATGTTGAAAGTAACCTGGAACGTAGCGTTAGAAAAAACGCAAATAGGAAGCATATTGTTTTTGATAACTAAATGGATAAAAAAGTTTAATGATGATTAAATTACTGTTGGTTAAATCATAGTTGGGAACAGCTCATATACATAAAACTATTGTTTGTGTTGCCATCTAGTAATACTACGGATAAATATTCAGTGAAAGCATGTCATATAATTATCGATGAAATTGTACATCTTTTCTTATTACTATTTATTTATTTTCAAATCAATATTCCCCGAACGATATTAGTTTTTTTCTTACTATACAAAAAATGACACATATGTACATAATAATGTTGCACGTCTCGCTTCATAAAAAAACTTCATAAGAAGAGCATCAAAAGTGTAGATACGAAAAAAGATATAAATTGAAACAAAAGAGGTATAAAACAGGAAATAATTAATTCTATGATTTTTCACGTAAGATCATTGAATATCGTAATGTTGATGGTGCTAAACTTGATCGGTTCTTACGTTGTATATATCCAGCAATGCTAAAGGCGTTTTCACATTCTATCGATGTAGCACACATGATGTTGTATTTACGTACTATTGATGCTAAGATTGGTAGTTGGAACTGTTTTTTTTTCAATATTCTGTAAAACCATCATACTCTTTATGATTATCAATCGAAATATGAAGTAGAATATCAAAAAAGAAATTTTTCATTTTTTACGAGCTTTCGATTCTATTCTTGTATCATCATCGTGCAACTTGGTTAAAAAAGTTATTATTGTATGTGAATATATTACAATTAAAATATATATGTGTTAAATGAGATGTCATTGATTGTAATTTTAGCTAGTTTTTTTGTGTATAAAGTTTCTTTTATTTCTCGTTTTTTTTCGTTGTTATCTTGTGCTAATATTGATGTTTCTTCAAATTTAAAATGATGTTTTTCCGTTTTTGTATGATTGACTAGATTGTTATAATTTGGTTTTGGATTATTTACATTATCTATATGTTGGTTAATTCTTTAACTAAGTTTTTTACCAGTTTTTCCTATATATAGTTTGTCTCAAACTACACAATTAGTTTTGTATATTACACCACTTATATTTCCATTTTGTCCTTTAATATTCCTAATAAATTTAGCCATCTACAACACTCATACCCACCTAGACGCGAAACCCTTTTCATGCAGTAAAAAAAGTTATCTATACATTGCGTCGAGATCAAAAATACTTTTTAGTCTATTATAACTCGTAAATCAAGTACATGAACACTGTCTTATTATAAAGAAACCAAAAGTTAAAAAAAAAGGCTTTCTTAAAATAGAATCCAAATAATTTTAAATTATTTGGACGTACTTTTGAATGAATCATGTCGAACTTATTATTAAACCAATTCGATTTATTTTTTGATGTACTTTTAAGATGAATTATGCATGACTTCATTTGTTTGGCTTCCTTTCTGAAGCGAGTAATTATACATCTTCATCTGTCCTTCAACATCACTTCACCGTTTTATATTTGTTTCTTGTTAGAACGATGTTATTTGTATTTCATTATTTGATTTTCTTGTCGCTCGCTTGCTCGAGCTCTGACTTTTAATACATTTTTATTTAAACAGCGAGTCGACAAAACGTAACCATCATTTTTTCAGTAGTATGAAAAGTAATTGTAACCAGACTAGTCCAGAAATAGAGAATAATGAGATGTTACAGTCGTCGTCATTATCGAAAGATGCATTTGATCAATCATACTCGCAAAATTCAATAAATATAACGGCTATTATATGGAAAGATATAGGTAAACAGCATAAACCACGACGTCGCTCACTTAATAACATGCTCGGTAATGCGGTTGCTCATAATGAAAGAAACAAGGAAGAGATTGTAAGAGAGACATTGAGACAGGTAAATTAATCCTATAAGTTCTTAAACACATTTTTACGGTGTGACATCTCTGATTTCTAGGTTATTATAAAGCATGCCGATTGGGATTCGTACCTGACATGCAATTCTGATTATAAAGCGTTCATTTCAAATTGGTCATGTCATTGGTGGTGTTGGCATTTGTGTCATTCTGATCGCATAGGGCGTCACTTTCTACAATCGTTGGACGGTGATTTTCTCTGTCCCCTGCACTATGCCGTAATCCATAATAATCTTCGTGTTTGTGAATCACTTGTACAAGATAAAAAATGCGGTATGTATTGCTATTTTGGCGTCATATACATAGTGTTAGAAAATCATTACGTCTTGAGGGTGTGGATGTGTTTGAGGATGATATAGAAGACGAGACACCCACACCCTTGAAATGTATTGCAGTATACAACATTGTATGATACTGTTTGTCGAGGAAAGTGTAATGGTCTTGTAAAACTGTGTACGTGTCTGATTTATTTGATTACATTAGATATCAATGTAAACGGAATTAATCGAGAAACTGTGTTGCACATGTATGCACGTCGACACAAATGGTCAAAATCTGATGAATTTGTAAGTGATCAGAAGATATTTGTACGTATATTGTTTTCTTTTTGAGGACCCTGGAGAGAAAATCTTGGATTTATTCTTCGATCTCAAGTCCAAATTAGAAATCAATGCACCAGACGACGAATTTCAAACACCGGTATGTTCATAGCATATTTTGAGGCTGTGGGTGTGAATGTTTATAGAGACTAATGAGTATGAAAGTGGAATTCGTAAGAGTCGTCTCTTCACTTTCACTCTGGAGGCAGAATATCAAGTACAACTTTATGATATTAGTAACTTTTTCATTGATCAATACCGTCATTGATTATATTCATACGTAAAAGCAGTGTTCGATTTCAGAAAATATCTTCAGTTGGAACAATTATTTTCATTTACTGCTTTCATCTGTTGTTTAATTTATACATGCTAGTTGCATCATGCCGTAAAGCGTAACAATTATTCTTATGCAAAATGGCTCATCCAACATGGAGCTGATGTGACCGTACGTAAATAGAATTTTTATTGAATACTAAAAATAAAGCCGTTGATTTAGAAAGTGAGCCGATTCGGAGAAACTACCTTACATATGGCTTGCAGTTTGTCGTTAGATGGTGATTGTGTTCGAATGATCGAAATCCTCTTGTCTGCTGTGGATTCAATATTAAAAAGAAACATGGTAGGTATATACATGATATGACTATTTTATTATTCTTGTATCTAGCTGTTTTCTAATACGATCATTTCAAATCAATTACAACGTCGTTATGTTAATATGCAAGATGCTGATGGGAAGACAGCTTTATGCCGAGCTGCCGAAAAGAATCATGTTGAGGCGATTAAACTTCTTTTGTCTCAAGTAGATAATGATCAATGGGAGACGACACTTGTTTCAGCTGTTAAATCTGGCAATTGTACGATTCTTAATCTTATTCTGAATGCATGTAGACATTACTCATTTCTTAACATTCCAATTCTACATCTCGCTTGTAAACTTAATAACGGTCGACAAATTGTTGGAAGGTCATCAACGGATGAGGATTGTATAACAGCTTTTCTGGTTGAAAATCTTCATTTAAACACACTATCAGATTACAATGAGGAAGGTTATACGCCCGTCCTGCTTGCTGCACATTTCGGCTTTATCGATTGTGTTAAATATCTACTCTCGACTTCAAAAAATATAGATCATCAACTGAACGAATCTACCAAAGATTGTCAACATAACATACTTCATGTGTCCGCCAAGCAAGGACGACAGGACTGGATTAAAGATTCATCGTCTGTTCAATCTTTCTATGATTCAGATGAAAAGAGAGTCGAGATGGCATTATCTACATCATCAACAATAAATTCGAGTGATTCTGCTCATTTTACTATTTGTCAATTTGTTCTCGAGGATCACAAATACAAACATATAGTTGATAGACTTCTTTACCAGCAAGACTACAATGGCAACACTCCGTTGCATCTCGCCTGTCAACAAGGCAATATACAGCTTTGTAAACTATTTGTCAAGCATATGAAGGAGGGTACGCATCTTATTGTAATAGATTTAAAACAATGTACGCCACTACATATTTGTGCCAAGTTTGGCAACGTTGCTCTGATCAAAACTCTGTTGCCAGATATGATTGATAGAAAGATTGCTTTAAAAGCGTTGAATGACAGCCAAGATATAGATGGCAAGACACCTTTACATATCGCCTGTAGCGAAGGTGAGTGTAATTAATACTTATTTAGTTTTACTATATTCTCAAAACTTAAACCAATCACGTTCTTAGGTAATATCGAAGTAGTTCAATTTTTTATCGAACAACTCAATGCATCTTTGACAATCCAAGCTGATAATCGCGACACACCGCTTATATCTGCATGCGAACATGGTCATCTGCATGTAGTTAATTATCTTTTGGAATCGACAAATGCTGATTCTACTATTCGCAATTCAAAAGGATTCAATGCACTTGACATAGCTATTATAAATCATCATGAAAATATTGTTCGACGTTTACTCACGTGTGAAAACTGGCGACGATTAATGGAGAATGCTTACTATGACGATAGTGGTATTATATCAACACCAATGCGAGAATTAATTATTTATATGCCCGACATTGCTTACGATCTGATCGATACAAAGCTAACCATGGTTAAAGGCAGTGATAATATGATCGAACATCAAATTACCTATGATTATACATTCTTCGAGGATCAGTATCGTATTCGTAGTTGGATGTATGGTGAAGATAGTAAGAAGAAAAATTCTCAAACGAATTGGTTCTCTCAGTTATCATGCGTGAAAGGTGAAGCAACTGACAATCAGTTCAATGATACATATACCAATGATGCCTATACTCTTGTTCAAAATCATCCTCTTATCATCGCAGCAAAATGTAAAGAAATGAAATTGATGGAACACGAATATTGTACTCAATTACGAATGAAAAAATTTAGACGCTTTGGTCTTGGTTTATTCTCGATTTTTAGCGTAATCTATGCGTTATTTGTTGCTCTGTATACACTTCTAGTACTATCTTCCAAACATCCATTTTTCTATTACAACTTGTACAATGAATCATCGAATGGAACACTTATGTGGCAGAATGGAGATGATATAGACAACTGTGAAAAAGTCGCTACTTTTCTTATTGCAACGAAAAAAACACAGTTTCTAAAGAGTGACATTTCTCAATGGCTTATACCGTTATTGTATGCATTATTCTCGGTTGTTATTGCTAAAGACGTATTACTAATAGCATGTGCTTTTCCTCGTATATTTCGTAAGATGAGTCTTTATTTCGAATGTTTGTCACTCATTCTATGCTTTACCAATATATATGATTGGTATACTTGGCAAAAGCCAGTCAATCTTCGATGTCCCATTCAGTGGCAACTGGTAAGTCATAACTAGATGTTGAACGAATTAAAATTTCTCATATCTAGGGTTCGGTTGGTTTGCTTTTTTCATGGATTACCATACTTACATACATGCAATATATTCCATGGATGAACTGTGGTCTCTATGTGGTTATGATGCAAGTGATCTTTTCGAAATTTCTCAAATTTATTCCTGTTCTTCTCACAGTCATATGTGGCTTTGGTTTTACCTATTACATGTTGTTACAATATCAAACAGTGTATGGAACTCCATTTGAAGCACTTATGAGAACGTCAATTAGTTTGTACGATTTAGGCTATGAAGCGCGTCTCTACTCGCCTTCAAGCGATGGCGTAATGCTCTATCCTGTCATCTATTTTGTTTTCATTGTTACGGAAATTACCTTGGCTATTATTATCACTAATCTACTAATTGGTAAGATTATTTTGTTCATTTCTTTATTCATTCTATTTACCATATTCAGGTTTGGCCGTTGGCGAAATACCTACTTTGAAGACACAAGCCCAGTTGAATCGAAATATAATCTTTTATGAATTGTTATTTGATTATGAATTTCTTCATATGCAACTCAAAGGTTTTGTACGTTACCTGTTCAGGCATATTCGATATGGTAGATTTCCTTTCTGTTGTTGTCGATGCCGTTGTTGGACACGATGCAACACATTGGTCGACTGTATTTGTTGCGATTGTGCAGTGCGCACACAAGATTATATCAGTAGTACTTATCATCGGCAGAGTAAATTTTTTATTTCTCGATTGATGGATAAGATTGAGGGATGGCTCGTCGAAAAAGAAATTCAATCGGCAATTCAGTGGCAGAAGAATTGGAAGAAAAAAAATATGCTGAATGAAAATCGTTCGGAGAACTAAATCTGTGTGCTGTTGTTTTGATGATTTTTTTAACGAATTACGCATTAATAAAAAATCTTGAAGGTGGGTGTGGGTGTGGGCGAGTATTCGTTTCATATCACACAACTGCCAACACCCACACCCTTGTTCGCTTTTGTAGACTTCAACTTTCATTGTTTGATAAACAAAATGTGGTCATTGGTTATGTCATGGTAACTCATCATGTTCAGAAAAATAATCAAACAAACTTCTTTTTTGATTTTTGTCGTTCTTTGTAGACAATTTGAATTTTATTTTTTGAAGAAACAAAGTTAAATACAGAGATTCTTACAACACAATGACAATAATGACATGAATATACTTAAATATAACAATACAATATACAGCTAACGAAACGATAAGAAATAGAACGAAAGAGTCGAGAAAATATGGTTAAAATATTCTTTCCGTATTCTCTAGTGATTATATAAGCATAATAGTTATTTGCATAAAAAGATGTTCTTCATTTCATTTCGAAATGTTTTTGACACGATTAAATTGCTATAAAATCCAATACAATATGGAATATAATTACAAAATGAACATAGATATTGGATTGAAACTTCTGCCTGTGTTTGATCGAAACTTTTCGTGTTATACTGAGTAATTTGTTGATATAAATTTATTGCTGTTTGTGGATAGACACAGATGACATAAATTCCAATATCCGTGAGAAGAATACGAACGAGTTGACGATCTTTGGAATGAATCGAGTGTAAACCACGATCGTTTATTGTTCCCGTTGTAGTTGTATCAGGAACAACCCTATTGTGACCTATTTTTCGAATATTTCTGATAGCCAAAAGACCTAAACCTGCTAAAAGCGTCGGAATAAGAATATTTTTCAGAAGTGAATAGTAACTTATGACTACAAGATATATTGGAGATTGCGTATAACAAATAAAATTACTCAGTGCAATTTGAATAACATGCATTAAGATCAATGAATGACTATGAAATAACATCCAAAATAGTGTTGCACAAATGGTACTTCTATATGCAAGGCGAAAAGTACTTCGTTGTCTTGTTAAAGCATTTGGTGATGTAACTAAGATTCGATCAATAGAAGCTAGAACTAAACAAGTAGGACTTATTATATCCAGGGCGAAAGCCATGTATATAGAAAATCGACAAAGACCTAAAGTATATGTGATAAATGTCATACCATAACCAATCGATAATACTGATGGCAATAGAAGTGTAATAATATATGTAAAATTAGCGATGTGAAATGCCATCATATATATTGAACATGGATTTTTACGGAGAGTCTTTTTGCTAAAGACTATCCAACTAAGTAGACAACCAATACTACCTAAAGCTATCAACATTGATCCTCCATATTGAAACAGATATTTTACTATTCGTTGTAATAATACTGTGTAATCACTGATTTCAGATTGTAAAGACATAACAACGAATAATCCTAGAAGAAATACAGAATATAGTACCACAAGATTGTCTTTATGAAAAATAATCGAACAAAAATTTTGTAATAGAAAAGAATAGATTTTCTCAACAAAAGTTCGTATTCTTCTATAAAATAACAAAATTTGCACTAATTGTTTTACGACAATAATGTTATGAAAAATTTTTTATAACATTATTGTCTTAAAACAATTAGTGTAAATTTTAGTCATTCTATTGGAGAATAAGAACTTTTGTTAAAAAAATTTATTCTTTTTTATTACAAAATTTTTGAATTCCCACCATCGTTGTACAGAATAAATGGGTGAGTAAAAATCAAGTTTAAGTATCTGATACTACTACTCTCACACTCTCATTTCATCGTATTTTTTCTTCAACAAAATATAAAGAAACATATATTTGATTATCTTTTATATCTGTTGTAGCTACGCTTCCTGTTTACTCATTCTCACCACCTTATTTCTATTTATAATCATGGTTCGAGGTAGACTTATATTTTAATTAATATATAGAGTACGATTGCTTTTTCTTGACGCGCTGTTTTTCAATAGGCGACAAATGATTGAAAAGGCTATGATTAATTAGTGAACTAAAAACAGTATACAACGTCACAAAACAAGAGACGTTTTTTAGGCATAAAAAGAAAAAAAGATTTTCTAATAGTATTCAAACAGAAGTAACACGGATACGAAACGATTCTTTTATCTAATCGACACTTCTTTTGAAACATTGCACGTAAACCGCTCCCATAACGAATGACCCAGAATATTCTAATTAACAACCATCTTCATTTGAGAAAATTATAAAATCTTGACTTTTTCTTACAAAAGATACATCGACAAAATTTCTATTAATTGGTACTGGCGACCTTTCTCGATCATTAAAAATGAAGATATACATGATGTTGTTACTATTTCAAATATATGTTGGGTTGATTAAACGGCATGACTTTGATTTCTTTTAAAAAAATGCTTTATAAATATCTCCATAGTAAGGCAAAATACTCTTTCAAACATGTCTTCTGTGCTCAATACGCTGGGATAAATATCTACCATTTAGGTTGTTTATATTGAACATCGAATACAAGAAATATGTAATTCAAATTTATATTACTTGTTATAACAATATCATTTTTAATAGACATCAAGAAAGAAAAGAGATGCAATAATTCAAATTTAAATAATATTCGAATAATGTAATTTTAAATTATTATACGAAAAAATAGTTATTAATACTTGAATTTAGTAAATATATGTGACGATTGTATGATAGAAGAAGCATTAGTGTTGATGGTATCGCGCCTTATTCTATTTCTTCTTATGAAGAATCTCATCGTTTTTCATATAAAGCATACACACATAATATCTGTCTACTAAAGAGAATGAATTCACATTCTTGAATTCGTATGACATCTATCCGAGCTTTTTTACGTATATGCACAGAACTGACAAGTAAGCATAAAGTGCTCGGTAGTCACATTGGAAGAATTACCGGATGAAATTTTGATGATTATTTTCGGTTATTCGGATAATATCTATTCTTTATTTCAAACATTTCTGGGTTTAAATCAGCGTATAAATAATATTCTTCTCGACAAACGATTACATTTATTCATTAATTTTCTATCCATAAATATTGATCATGAAACAATGTGTTTCTATTATAATTCATCAGAATTTCAACATATAACACGAATACTTAAATCGGTAAATGGAACTGTGAATAACAATGAAATTATTGAATCATGTCTCGAATCGTTAGTTCGTTTTCATATTCAAAATCGATATATTCAATTAAAGAATGAATTTCAACTAAATCAAAAACATTTTCAACTCATACGTAAACAAATGACTCATAGTGAAATTCAAAAAATTGACGATGAATTACAACTTGCATGTCAAGAATTAGTAATAACTTCGACTGCGACTTTAATTCATAAAATACATTCACTTATTTATACACGCGGTGGACGTGTCAAATATGATGATTCTCAACTAGATTCATATGATTCAGCTACAGCTATTTGTAATCGAATAGTTAGATACTTTCAATATCCTTCAAAATATAATCGAAAACATTTCGATCATTTTACATCTATATTGAAAGGACTCATCATTTCAAGTCTAAATCTTTTAAAAAATACAGAGCATCTCTTTTATGGTTCGGATGTACTTCATTGTTTACTCATAACTATATTTCAACGAGCTTCTAATTATACTCGACAATCATGTACAACACATATGTATTATTATCAGTCATTTGTCGATTTAGTTTTATTATCAATACGATCTCTTTTAAATGAAAATTTGTGGTCAACAAGTTATTTGTACGAAATATTATCACTGATGAAATCGAAGAAAGAGTCACTTAGTAATATTATTGTTCAAACAACAGAAATGGAAATAATAAAAATTTTACTCAATGAATTGAGTTTAGCTTTAAATGAATCATGCGACGACGAACCAAATCATTCGTTAGTATACGCTTTGTATCGTTTGATTAGATATGATCGTATGGATATTTTTTTAGTGATGTATCGACACAATAAAACTGTACGAGATCTTTTTCAAAAGACAGATTATATGGAAAAAAATGTTAATATTATGCTTGGAAATCATAAAAGAAAACAATTACTCAATCAATTAATCGATGAAAAACCGTTAAATACATGTTTTACAACGAAAAAATTTCTATTTCAACTATTAAGTAAAAAACAATTTGAAATGGTAAAAAAACTTCTGAAATTATCGATATCAGTTTTAAATGAGATCGATGAAGATGGTAATGATATTTTATTATATTTATGTTTAAAAGTTCGTGGTTGTCGACATCGTTTTATTGAATATTTAATTAAAATGGGTTGTAATACACAAAGGATAAATTATTGTGGTCAATCATTTTTTAATGTTATAGAATTGAAACAAAATCAAAAATTATTAAAAAAATTATTCGAACATGAAATCATTTTATTTGATAATTTAACGGGAAAAATAATAATTTCAACAAATCTTTTTGAATAAATAAATAGAAATAAAATATATTAGATTTTCCAAAAGAATTTAATATCATAGGAGTGTTCAATTGTCGTGGTGGTATACCCACACCCTCTTTATGACATAGTAATTGATTATTATATTCAAACAATTAAAAGTCTTTATATCTAGATGCATTTGTATATGTTATCTTTTGCTCATCAGAAATAATATTGAATGGAGTTATGAATGTTATCAGTAAAAAAATTCTAATTTTAGCACAATCAATCCTCAAGTTTTACGATTCCCTGCTCCTCCCCCCGCCCTATCTTTAAAGACAGGTGCTCATTACCATATTGAGGGTGTGGGTGAGTATATACAATACTCACATCCACAGCTAAATATATATTTTCTTTGAATATAACTCAGGAATCTCTAGTCATAACGTATGACTCACGGAATGAGAAAGGAGAATTGAAACAAGTCATGTAATATCATATTTGACGGTTGTGATAAACATGGCAAATAAGAATCTTTTTGTTACCGTGTATGGTTTAATATTTAACCAAAAATTATTTAACACTTCTAGTCGTCTTTGTTACAAATGCAACATATACATCGCATTGGAGGAAGAAAAAGGAAATACTACATAGAGAAAAATAATATCAATATTCCTGTGGTAGACGTGTCTTTTAGAAGCAAAAAAAGCAAATTCTTCTGACAAATACTTAAATGACACGCAGACAATTATTATTCATCTATAAAATTATATTATTCTCGGTCGTTTTTATTAAACATATTAAAATAATAAAATATTCTTGTAAGGCAAGTTTTTTAGTATTATTATTGATCTTGATAATATGTTGTCCAATATCATATCACTTTCTGTCCTACTACTACTTTACTAGTCGTTGTATCAAGAAAAATATCTTGATTATACTGATGATAGTTATTAATAGTTTTTGTAGTCCTGAGTCTTACTTGAATAAGATTCAGGAAAATGTGTGCATTAAAATATCTAAAAGATGTTGAGTCATCATAGTATTTTTTTGTTATAAATCGTAGCACTGAAAATAAAAGTAGTTAAATTCAATCACTTTAGCTAAACTGTCGCATCGGTTTAGCCACGAGAATCTGTTTGTTTTTATTGTTTCTTGAAATTTAATATATTACTTAGCCAACGAAATGAACGTCAGTGTTATTGAAATAATACAATGATAAAATTCTGTCAGTACAATTGAAGTAAGTTTATAGAATAATCAATTCCTATAGTATGTTTTCAAAGAATAAATAGACTCATGACAAAATCTTTTTGTTTCTAGGTAATATTTTTAGCAAACATATGAGCATAGATAATGTGATATGAACAAGGGAGTTACTCTATTTTAAACATATTTTTAAATATTTTTGATTATCTTCTTTACAGACCGAGTATATGGATTGATGTACATCAATGCTTTTAATAGGAATTTATGAATGATAGAACATTGACAAAATGTTTTTACAACCACCATAAACACTGATTACTTTGCAAATATCAGTGTTTGATAAATGAAAATTCTATTTTTCTTCTCATATTTTAAGTAATTATTTGGGAAACTCTTTAAATATATTTTTCTTACGAACAGATCAAGTTTCTCTGATGATATAAGTATTAGCTTATATTTAAAGCGTTTACTGGCATAATTTTCATAAAGAAAATTTTCTGCATTCATTTTTTCTATTAACCATATACGAGTCAACTTATTTACTCAATCTACAAAGTTGATGTTCGATTTTTTTTATAGATTATCTCTGTGACATTCTGTATATAACATCATGTACTAATTTTTAGATTTATTATTCGATTTGTCAATCAATTGATATATCTTTTTCTCAGACAGTTATTTGAAGTTTATGATAAAAATGTTTCGTACTTATTGAATCGTCTCAATCTGTTTTTCTTCTAACAAATCCCTTGTCGCTAGAACAAAATTCATCATGAACAATTACCAACGATTGTACAGACATTGTACCTTTCGTTTTATCATCATAATTTTACAGTTAATAATTATTTTTATTTTAATTCGACGAGATTTACGAGAATCATCATTCCCGAGGACACCATTATCTGAGAACAACATTATACAGACAAAACCAACGAGTGAAATATCACTAACACAATTGGATACGAAATATCATACTAGTAAAGGACAAGTTCATCGTTATACTCGTTTCTATGAACATTATTTAAGTAAATATCGTAATACTAAATTTTCTCTACTCGAAATTGGTCTTGGTTGTGGCATGTCATGGGGTGTAGGTGTGTCGGCAGCGCTATGGCGAGAATATTTTGGTCCAACAGCTGATATTCATTTTCTTGAGTATGATAAACAATGTGGTGAAAAATGGTTGCAGGGTCCTGGTCAAAAGGTAATTTTAGAAATGAAAAAAATAATTCATTTTTTTAGTTTTTAGTTGAATGTAACAATGCACTACGGTTCTCAAGATGATCGATCATTTCTTAAATCTTTTGCTAAAAGTAATGCAAACACTTTTGATGCAATTATAGATGATGGTGGTCATCGAATGACACAGCAAATCAATAGTCTTAGTATTCTTTTACCAGCTGCTCTTCGTTCGGGTGGTACTTATGCTATTGAAGATATTTATACAAGTTATTTATCTGAATTTGATGGTGAATATTTAAAAGAATCGACATTAATTGAATTTCTTAAACATCTTATCGATGATATTCAATCAGGATCCCCAACACATAAGAACAGTACTCTTGGGCTACTACTTCATTCGTTTGAAATAAGTGATAAAATATGTCTTTTCACAAAAAAATAAACTTTTATTAAATAAAGTAGTAGATTTCGATAAAAATATTGTTATCTACCACTTATTTTTTAACAACACTTTTCTTACTATCGCACAAATGAATGATCTGTACTTTATGAAAATAATTCTTGCTAGGATTATCATTTATTTATTCCAAGTTAAAACAAAACTTTAAAATCATAATACACAGACATTTCTGCATGAATTCATCAATACAATATTAAATGCTTCTTCTCGAGTTTTTGACAGGTTTTTTTTCTCTCCATTGTTCGATTTACACCGTTCAGTAAGAATTTAAATGATATGAACTTACGAGAGAATCTTTTCATGTATCTTTCGAAGAATTTCAATAATTTTTTTTAGTTTATAAGTATTAAATAGTATCATAATAAGAGCTCTCGTTGGATTTGGGTGGGGTGTGAGATGAATACATGTCTATATCCACACAAACAACTTCTTCAATAACTATGTTTCGTTCAGAATCAAGATAAATGAACTATAGTCATAAAATAACGAATATGAATTTTAGGAGTCGAGTATTGTCAGAAAAAATATCGAAAGTTCTATAAGCGTATATAAAATTTGATGATGAGAGAGACTAGTCGAAGCTATGCCTTTATTGTACAATAATTCTTCAAGAGTCAGTACGGAATGTTCGACAGTTTTTGTTTGAAATGTCAATCACATACATGTCCAAAATGAAAATAAATGTAATTTTTCATGTTGTAGAGTGATGGTAAATAATATACTGTAAGTAAAAGATACCTGAATAATTTATGAAGAAAATGTTGAATAAATATATCAGTGACGAACTGAGAAGAGTATAGAGCGAGTTTTAAAAAAAAATAATGGCAATATTATCAATAGGAAATAAACAGTAATATTCAAAATAAAGAAAAGAATTTCATGAATGTATGAGAAAATATTTATGCATGAAAAGCTGACTTATTGTCAACTACCAAATAAAGTTGTGAAAAATATTCGAACATTGCTGCCAATATAGCAGATAAATAAATAACTTATAGGTTTCTAAAAAATAAGAATTTGAAACATTTTTCTACGGTATTTATTCTGTTCTGAGTCTTTTTTTTAAAAGAAACTCGTTTTAATGATGAATGCAACTTTCTAACAGATAAGGGCATGCTGGTCGAATCAAAACAATATTTATCACACATTACTTATGAATACAAGTGAAGTTAAAAATACGATTTCTAATTTTGGTTACATCATGCAATAAATATTGGATAATAACTATATTGAGAAAAAAAATTCTTTCAGTTTTACAACGAATTTTATAATCTTTTATCGAAACATTGTTTTTATAATGTCTATGGTGGTATGACTGGATATATAAAACATAATTATGTAGAAAAAAAAACTCGATGCATACGCCATTATTCATATTTGTTTTTATCGCAAAACCTTATTTTTATCATGATTTTTATTTCTAAGCACCTTTTTTTTTCTTTCTTTATACGCATTATATAAAGAACCAATTATATTATAACGTATTACATATGCAAGTATTTGCACGTTTTTACCTTGAGAAGAAGCGAATGAAATCAAAAAACCATAAAAAATACAGTATGGTTCGATTAATGAAGAATCTAGGTTAACAATGAAAAAAAATAAGTATCAACAAAAAAACAAGCGCAAGTTGGAAAAAATTCAGTTCTTCTTTTATATATATACGTGCAAGTTGATTATTGATCAAACAAAAGTATTGACTGTATACAATCGTCTTACATCGACAGTAAGTAGACATTCCTATTTCTAATACTGCTATACTAAGTGTTTTTAATGATTTGCAATATTTTTTTCAATGAAGTTTGAGGATGAAGTAATTTATATCCTCTACATCTAGAGTCCTGCATTGTTAGAAGAGAGAAAGACTAGATTAAAGGTAATAATCAATGAGTAAGAATCGTACAGAAGATTGTCCTCTCTTGACAAACTATCACGATAGAAAAGCTCTTACAGATTTATTGATCAGACGAAGATCGAAAATAAATCTTTATAAATTAAAATATGCCACGTTTCTTTTATGCACCACATTCATGCAAAACTTGAAAGGGTAGAAAAAATAAGTAAAAGTTGTGATTATAATTTTATAACTCATCTTTCATAACTCATTTATCACATGCGAACATGTTATTCTTGATAGATTTATATATTTAATCGTATAATTGTTTTAAATTTTATTATAAGGTTGGAAGCTAAATAACATACTATCTTAAAGAAAATTATATTTTACAATTCATTTTAAATTGGAAGTTATAGCAAACGCATCGATTGAATTTAAATAATTGTTTTTAATTATGCCTACATATATATGTCCTCGTTGTAATGGTTCTGGCAAATCCAACGACACAACAGCCGGCTGCAGACCATGTAAAGGAACAGGCAATATTTCTGGTGACCTCATCTTATGCTTTCGTTGCGAAGGCAATGGCAAATCCAAGGAGACAACAGCGGATTGCAAAAGTTGCAGTGGAACAGGTGCTATCCCTAGTAGTGCTAGTATGTGTAGCAGCTGTGGTGGCAAAGGCAAATCTTCAGGAACTACAGCGGATTGCAATACGTGTAATGGAAAAGGTTACAAATAATGAAGACATTTTGTCGAAGAACATTAGAACTTATTATATTGAAATAAACTTAAATTTTCTTCAATATATTTTTAACTAACAAGAATACTCATAGATTTTATGAATAAAAACTATCAGAAAGAAAATATGAACATTGAATAAAGAGGGTGATTATTGTCTTCGATTGGTAGATCTGAACAGTGTAAAAAATATTTTTTGTTCGATGTCTAAATTTTTCTTTCAACGTTATAGTTAAAAACTTAGCTATTGAAGCAAGCACAAGAGTGTGGGTGTAACGTTAAGAATAAAAGAGAAGAAAGTAGATACCCAGATCCTAATCTGTAGTGTAGTTAATTTATTTGCATTGTGAAAGTCCCATAAGACAGCCCGTTAGAGAACAAAAGATTTTGACTATAACTAGCGAACCGAGTTATCCCATTACCTTAATATGCATTCACCTCTTATTTTGTAATAGTATGTACTATAACAAAGATTTTATTTTATACTTGTAATATTGTTGTTCCAATAAAAAGAAACATACTTTTTTCAAATTTCTATATTATAAAATAAATAATCCTCTTTAAAAAGGACTCAATATTTTAGGCAAATTTGTCCAACAACAGATCAGATTGTAGTAACATTCGTCGATTCACTTGTCCGACTCTATTTCATCCTATAAAATATCTATAGGGTGTGGGTGTGGGTATGAGTGAGGTTTTGTGTGGATGTCAGTGTTAATTACAAATAAGTATAATACCTGCAGTCACACCTGCTCACATTCATATCCACATCGACCCACACCCTCAAGAATTTGAGACATTTTTCTACGATATTAACTCCATTTTGCGTCTTTTTATTTTTTAAAGAAACTTGTTTTAATGACGAATGCAACTTTCTAGCAGATAAGAGCATGCTAGTTGAATCAAAACAATATTTATCATACATTACTTATAGATACAAGTGAAGTAAAAAATACGATTTCTAATTTTGGTTACATCACGCAATAAATATTGAATAGCAACTATACTGTAAAAAAAGTTCTTTTAGTTTTACAACGAATTTTAAATTCTTCTGCCGAAATACTGTTTGTATAATGTTTATGCTGATCTGATTGGATATGTAAAACATAATTATGTAGACAAAAAAACTTGCCACATATGTCATTATTCATAATTTTTTTGTGCGAAACCTTATTTTTATCATGAGTTTTATTTTTAGCACCTTTTTTTTCTTTCATTATACGCATTATATAAAGAACCAATTATATTATAAGAGATTACATGTAGATTTGTTCAAGTTTTTACCTTGAAAAGAAGCGTATGAAGTCAAAAACCATAAAAATACATTATGATTTGATTGATGAAGGTCGTATGTTAAATATGAAAAGGAATAATAGTCAACAAAAAAACAAGCGCAACTTGGAGAAAATATAGTTCTTCTATTTCGTACATATATATACGTGCAAATTGATCATCGATCAAACAAAAGTATTAACTGAATACAACCGTCTTACGTCGATAGTAAGTAGACATTCCTATTTCTAATACTGCTATACTAAGTGTTTTTAATGATTTGCAATATTTTTGTCAATGAAGTTTGATGATATAATAGTTTATATCCTCTAAATCTAGAGATCCGCATTGCCAGAAGAGAGAGAGACTTGATCAAATGTAAAAATCGTACAGAAGAGTCTCCACCCTTCGCAAACCGTCACAATAGAAAAGCTTTTCTAAACTCATTGATCAGACGAAGGTCAACAATTTTTCAAAGGAAAATGACGATTTGTGCCCGAAAGAAAGCAGTTGTCAATATCCTTAACAATCTTTGTTAGTTAAAAGTATGCAACGTTTCTTTCATGCACCACATTCGTGGAAAACCCGATGGGTAGAAAAAAAGTAAAAGTTGTGATCATAATTTTTTAATTTATCGCGAGTAACTTATTTATCACATGTGAACACTTTACGTTTGATAGATTTATATATGTAATCTTACAGATGTTTTATATTTTATTATAAGGAGAACCGTTGCCTCATTACATTATTTTATTGAAAGCTGAATAACATACTATCTTAAAGAAAATTCTATGTATAATTCATTTTTAGATTAGAGGTTATAACAAACGCGTCAATTGAGTTGAAATAATTGTTACTAACCATGGATACATGTCCTCGTTGTGATAGTACTGGAAAATCCACCGACAAAACAGCCGATTGCAAACCATGTAATGGAACAGGTACTATTTCTGATGATCTCGCCTTATGTTATCGTTGTAAAGGTGATGGCAAATCCAAGGAGACAACAGCGGATTGCACAGGATGCGCTGGAAAAGGTACCATCCCAAGTAGCGCTAATAAGTGTAGCAACTGTGATGGCAATGGCAACTCCTCAGGAACTACAGCGGATTGCAATGCGTGTACTGGAAAAGGTTACAAATAATGAAGATATTTTGTCGAAGAACATTAGAATTTATTATATTGAAATAAACTTGAATTTTCTTCAATACATATTTTTAACTATCAAGAATACTTATAGATTCTATGAATAAAAACTATCAGAAAGAAAATATGAACGTAGAATAAAGAGGGTGATTACCGTCTTCAATTAGTAGACCTGAACAGTGTGAAAAAATATTTTCTGCTCGATATCTAAAATCTCTAACGTGTATCTATTAGAGACTGGTATATGGGTTATTTTGCTTAAAATTAAAATATCTACATTGAGAGTGAGTATCACTGTGAGTAGACATAAAGGGATTTATACCCACAACGATTCCCTGGAAATTGCGTAATGACAATCATCACATTGATTATACGTACTGGCATTGTGAAAGTCCCATAAAACAGCCCGTTAAAGACTGAAAGATTTTGAATATAACTAGCGAACCGAGTTATTCCATTATCTCAAAATACATTCACCTCTTATTTTGTAATAGTATGTACTATAACAAAGATTTTATTTTATACTTGTAATATTGTTGTTCCAATAAAAAGAAACATATTTGTTGCAAGTTTGTATATTATAAAATAAATATTTCAGGCAAATTTGTTCAACAACATATCAGATTGTAGTAACATTCGTTGATTCACTCGTCTAACTCGGTTTCATCCTATAAACTATTTATAATTAGTTTTACAATCAAATAACAATATAGATTTTGAACAAAAATAAGTAAAAAGCGAAAGCCATTCAATCTTTTCTGATTAGAACTGAAAACACAATATTCTAGTCTCTTCTATATCATTTTATGCCAATAAAACAAAATCTTAACAAAAACTTTGTGTATATTTGTTATGGCAATTCTGTTGTTCTGTTACTGACATCATTCTTTTTCTTTCAAACAAGTAATTGCAACATCGTGTGAAACCAATAGAGAAAACAAATATCTACTCATTTAGTAGGAAGAAAAATTGACAACACATCATATAACCAACATATAAGGCTGCAGAGCACGCATTTCATCAACAGTCTACAATGGCAAATCAAACTGTCGCCAACTTCATTACGTTACCGGTAGAACTTGTCTACCGAATTCTCGATCATCAATCAAATTTCACAATTGTATGCTCAATGAGAAACGTATGTCAACGGCTCAACAGCATCGTAGACAGTTACGATCGATATCAGGTAAACTTTATATCTATTGACTCTCTGATTATTTTACACTACTACAATCTCTATTTAAATAGAGTGACTTCAATTAAATATACTATTTGTCACTTAAAATATTTTTTTTCTTTTTACTTTCTTTTCAATCTCAGCTAAATATTCCACGTTTCAAATCAAGTATGACGTCATACATATACAATGTTTAGACAAGAACGAAAGAAAGGGACACAAAAAAAACTTTTTTTATACATGTTCAATAATAAAAATCACTTTTTAAAATAAAGTACCGATCTATAAACTAGATTATCTTGTTATAAATAATATTCTAGGGATACATTATTTTGAGAGCATGAACGACTTTCGGTATAGGTAATCGTGAATGTAGATGGACAAACGATTATCCCACAAAACAACATCCACATTCTCACCCAATCACATCACTCATAATAAATATGAAATTATGGAATAAATTGTTTGACTCTTCTGCCTTTATAAATCTATGTTGTTTCATACACACAGTCGTATAGTGTCCAAGAAAAAGCAACAATCGAAATCAAAAAGTACTCAACCAAGTCACATAGCTATTCATTTTACTCATCTTACTCCAGAAAACATCAACCAACTATTCAGTCACTTCATCTGTACTATATCTTTTCCTCTAGACATTTTCAACACTCGATTTCGCATACAAAGAAATCCAAGAAGTTGAAGCACAACAACTGGCTGGTGCATTACGACACAATACAGTGATTATAATTCTGTCGTCATGTACATCATATCTTTACTTTCATCGGTTCCTCTAGACACTCACCACACTATATCTTCAACATAATCAAATCGGATATGTTGGAGCACAATATTTTGGCGATGTATTACGATACAACACAGTCATTATTATCTGTTTTGAACTACATCGTATCTTTACTTGTGCTTTTTCATCTAGACCCTAACCTCACTGCATTTATGGGGGAATGTAATCGGAGATGTTGGAGCGCAATATCTGGCTGGTGGATTACGATACAACTCGGTAATTGTCATTCTCTCTCTGCATTTGTAGCATGTGTTTGCATCCACTTTTTCATTTAGACACTCACCACATTACATCTTGGTGAAAATCAAATCGGATATCTTGGAGCAGAGTATTTGGGTGGTACATTAAAACATAATACTGTAATTCCCATTTACTCTTCAATTATATCATGTTTTTATCTGCATTTTTTTATCTAGACACTCACTTCACTACATCTCTGGGGGAATGAAATCGGAGATATTGGAGTACAATATTTTGACAATGGATTACGACAAAATAAAGTAATTATCATTATCTCTTTATCTATATTATGTCTTTACTCTCACATTTTCATCTAGACACTCATCACACTAAATCTTCAACATAATCAAATTAGAGACATTGGAGCGCAACATTTGGCTGATGCATTGCAACATAATAAAGTAATTGCCATTCACTTTTCACCGATATCATATCTCTACCCCCACGTTTTTGATCTAGACACTCACCACATTGAATCTTCTTGGAAATCAGATTGGGGATGTTGGAGGACAACATTTGGGCAATGCATTGCAGCACAACGCAGTAATGGCCATTCTCTCGTTATGTTTATCATATCTTTATCTTCACCTTTTTATTTAGACATTGACTTCACTAAATCTCTGGGGAAATCAAATCGGAAATGTTGGAGCACAATATCTAACTGAGGGATTACGACATAATAAAGTAATTATCGTAATTTCTCTATGTATATTATCTCGTTAGCTGTACTTTTTAATCTAGACACTGAACAGGTTCAATGTCTTGGAGAATGAAATCGAAGTCGATGCTTTACTTGAAATCAATGAATTGATTGAACGCAATGAAAGAGCAGAAAGTTATAACTTCTGAGATAATCTTTTACCCACATTCACACTCTCAAGGTCGCTAGTTGTTTGCTTTTATCAAGTTAATAAACTCACATTTACTCCTTTCTACTTTAAATATCGGTTTTACTTGTTTTTTTCTCTTTCTTTCTATTTTATCACACATGTGCTTGTGTCTTGTAATCTTCATATACACATATAATATAAATATAGTTAGAGATAAAAACTTCGCATTGCAAATATGACAACAACCATGGTTGCAACACTAGGTATGGGTGGATCTTATAATTTGAACTCTCGTCCTCAAATGGCAGCTATCGAAGCCTCGCTTCCATTCATTCGAGAAGGAATTGATGTGCTTGATATTTCTTCTTCATCTACTCCACTGATTATCGCTGATTTTGGTGCAGCACATGGACTCAATTCGATGTATGCCATGAAAACAATTATTCAATATTTGAAAGAATCAAAAAAAAATCGATGATAACAAACAAATTATTGTTGTTCACAATGATTTACCTACCAACGATTGGACGTCTCTCTTTGAACTTTTGAACAAAGATAACTTATATTTTGGTGTCGCTAATGGTCGATCTTTTTATGAACCGTGTCTTCCATCGAATTCATTTGCAATAGGTTATTCATCAGCAGCTATTCATTGGCTTTCTCGCAAGCCATGTAATTTATCAAATCATTGCTCATTTCAATTTGCTCAAGGCGACGAATTCATAATGTATCAAAAGCAAGCACGTCTCGACTTAGCTCAATTTATCGAGCAGCGTTCTCGTGAACTTCAGTTAGGTGGAGTTTTGATTCTAAGTATAGTCGGTGTTGATGAGCAAGGTTTCGTCGGATCTGAAAAGACTCTTGATGCTCTCTACAAATGTGCACAATCACTTCTAGAACAACAAGAGCTCTTGGATTACACAATTCCAATATATAATCGGTCGTTAAATGAATGTATTGATCTCGAACTGTTTGATCGATGTTCATTGAAATTAATCAAATCAGCTTCTAAAAAAACAAGAGCACCGTTCTATGATCAATATCTTGATGGTAAAATGACATTAGATGACTTTGCACGGACTCGCACTCAGATTATGCGTAGCTATACTGAATCACCACTACGTCAAGCTCTGGAAATTAATGGTCGATCGAAAGAAGATGTTGAGAACGTGTTAACTCATTTTTGGTCTATGTACGAACAAGAAGTAAAGACAACACCGAGTGATCATGACTCTGCAATGTTTTGTATCTATCTCATTCTAAAAAAATGTTAATAGAAATACTAAACAGTAAATATATAACATATCAATCTGTAATGTATTAATTTTCTATCAGTAATTATTAATAATCGAGGCATATGATTTTATGAAATACCAATAAATAAAATGAAATGAAATAGATACACATGAAATTTTATTTAATCGCTCCATCTTGAGGGTATGAGCGAGGACATATATCTTCTTCACTCAATACACCCACCCTCATAATGATTCGATTCTTCTAAATACAATAAAAATTATGTTTCAAAGCTTTTTAATAAGCGAAAATATATAGAATGCTTAGAAGAAAAGTATGCAAGTTAGATATATTATTAATTATGTCAAAATATAGTATAATTCGTTACACAGTAAGGTCGAAACATTGTACTCTATTATTATTTGAATCAGCAACATAAAGAAAGGTTTCGTTAGCGTTAAGTGCCACTCCAACAGGTGAATTAAACATGGTAGAAAGATTTCCTGCTATTCCCGTCCCAGCGACTGTAACTGCCTGAGTATCGTTTATCTTCCATCGCTGAATCCTATTGTTATTTGAGTCAGCGATGTACATAAATCCTGTCTTGGATGATACCCAAATAGCATTCGGATAATTTAATTGATTTGGGTCTGAACCCGGACCGTTTCCTCCAGCCACTGTCACACCTACGGTGCTATTCACTCGAAATCTTTGAATGCGATGGTTTGCACTATCACATACAAATAATAAAGAAGAATTGTTGTCGAAGAAGATGCCTCGTGGATTATTTAACTTGGTTGATGAGTTACCGCTGATATTGTATTGACCACCGATAATTGTAACATTATTTAGGACAATAACATGCGTATCAAATAACGCAGTATACAGGTTACCATGCTGATCGAAAGCTATTCCCCAAAGACCAACACCTCTGGATATGATGGCACCTTGTGTGACATTTACAGTAATGTTCGGTGGCCAACGTGTCGCACGATTAAGATTACGATCAGCAACATAGACATTTTGAGTATTGTCGACATAAACGTTCCATATTCTGTTCATTATAATATTGCGCTGTGGAGTGCCGAACCCTCCAGCTACGGTAACTCCTAGACGACTACCGAAGTGAAAGCGTTGCACTCGAAAGTTATTCGAATCACAGACGTAAAGAGTTTCATTGAGTGGTGAAACATATATACCACGTGGTGCACTTAGTCCTAGAGCATCATCGCCAGCCGACATATTGTCATAACCAGCAACTGTGATACCGATCCGAAATTCAGCAGCTAGAATTATATATAGCAAACTTCAAATACTATTTTCATAAAAGACTAATGATAGCTCGAAAAGCCTATATATCAGTGATTCACTGAAAATCACAATCTATACTTACACGGGAGCTATCTAATTAATGATCGTCGACTAGTCTAATTTCTACATATATAATAAAGACAAAAGTATGATGCATTTCTATGTAAGCTGATTCAAAAAAATTTAGTTTTGTTCTTGAAAAATACATAATTTCGTAAGAGCCCCATTACGAAGAAAGCATATTTTGTACCTGTCTTGTGACACATAATGTCTCATCACATTCGGTTAGTCTGAAATTTTCATGAGAAATACATGCGTTCAAATAGATACATCGTTATTGGACAATAAATATTGTAAAATCTATGAAAACATGTTCTTTTAGTGTGGACGAGGGTAAATCGGCGTTAGACTAATGTGACTCTTTCTGATCTCAATTTATTCACTCGTCTTTTCGTCATATTCACGAGATGAAGAGCAAAAAAAATAACAAAAATGATTACTTGAAGAGGTACTTGTTATTGTATCTGTCGAGATTTCAGTTGATTGTTTTGTGGTAGGTGATGCTAAGCTAACATCAGTTGTCACATGATTTGCTAAGGTTGTAGATGCACTCGTTTGAATCGAAATACCTGTAATAGAAAGACAGTTCAACGGTGATAAAGACATAATAGTGAATCAATACTCATAGAAGGATGATGTTGTATTCTCAACAGATCGATTATTCTTACTCAAATCTATATTCACAGTCATGTAATCCCTCACAGAAACACAATGGCTTTCGCAGCTACAAACTCAAACTCATCCTTAGATAGTAAAAAGGAAGAAAAACTAAAATATACAATTACTTGGAGAAGTACTTGTTATTTCATATGCTGCATTTGTATTAGATTCCGTGGTTACGACCATTGTTGAGCTTCTCATACTTGTAACTAGATTTGTAGAAACAATTGATGTAGTAGTTTCGATCGTGGCATCTGTATCAAATAGAAAAACAAAATATTGAAGGGTGTGGATATGAGCAATCAAAGGAAAACCGCCCACAGCCTCGAAATTATAGTTTATATTGCACGAGGAAAATACGTCAATTATATTACTATTATTTTCTTCGTTATTCTTGAATTCTATATTAGAATAGATGTAACTTACATCCACACAGATTGGTTGGCAAACAGCTATAACCGAGATCTTCTCGACACATGCTCATATTTTGTTGACATGGTGCACCAAGTAGAGATGATTGTGACATGCATATCGATGCTGTTTTATTCCAATAAGTATGTGGCATGCATTGGCATGTTGAATCATTTTGACATGTAAGATAGCGATTTTCTTGACAACTAGTACCACATGAAAAACCATGTTGTGAAAACAAACTCGCTGATATTTGAACAACACCAACTCTTGACTGTGATGGTAATGTGATAATACTTCCCGTTGTATCTATATCACCTTCAAACAATCGACATTGTTCTGATGCAGATATATCATACTCAATAATTCGGCATAAAACATTTTGATTACATGCAATAGCACATGCCTTCAATGAATTTGTGATGATTGTCGAAAGTAATTGTGCTGCTTGATTGACTGGAGAATATTGAGTACCAATAGGATAGTATACTATTCGAGATTGAAATATTTCTTCAGAATAAATTGGATGGACCATTAAAGCAAGAAAGAACAGTGGCCAAACGGAAGTGACCAACTGTCGACTTTTATATTCACTTGTGAAAAACATGACTGAGAATTAGATTATATCTAAAAACAATAGTTTTGTTTTATTCAATAAGCATTGTAAAAAGTGCGTGGGTGTGTAATTCTTCTCATGTGACCACTAAAGATTTGAGGATACTCTAAACATTTTATTCGAAAACTAATGTTGTCTTCTCGAGAAAATGAGTTTGTATGAAGTAGAGAAAACAGTGTATATACAATACTTTTGATTGAATACTAAGCAAAGTATATAAAAAAAATGTTCCTCGTCAATTATTTCAGCATCTACTTTTTTCTATGTTGTTTGGATAAGTATAAACTTGCTCTAAATTCTGATGTAAATGTGAAAGAGTAAAAAATATAGAAAAAACTTTTACAAGGCATAACAAGAAAAAAGAACTTCTAGCTGGATGAGATGATTCAGAGCGTTTTTTTGTTTATTTTATAATTATTAAACTATGTAAAAAAAAGTAATTTTCTATTTGCAATAATTTCCGTTGATAATGAGTTTGAAGATATCTATAATCTAAGGACAAAAATAATTATATACTATGTAATAGTATTTATATTTCTTAATATTCAAATATTGATTATTTTAATGCTTGAAAATGTTATTTTTCGGCATTTTCTATATCATCATATATCACAAAAGTATTATTTTGATCGCCAACACACTCTGCAAGACTATGTAATAGAAAAAAACATTTTCTTGACGTTTTAGTGAAAAGAAATTCTTTGGGTGTGTGTGTGTGTAGATGTGGATAGACAATAGAGATTATACCTACTCTCAGCAATGAAACTAAGAGTTGGTGATAAAGTGTAAATAAAGAGAAGAACGAGCGAGAGTATCATAGAAAAACGACAAAGAATGAATGCAGTGAACGTGTCAGGAAGATAATACCCTCAAAATGATTGGTTCATTTAGATAGAAGAACGTGATTTTTCTAAATATAAATTGTCTGTATTTTTAATGTTAGTAGTAAATTTGAACAATTTATTTCCACCGAAAAAGGAATTAGAATACGATATTTCAGTTACCTTTGGTTACTGTAGCAAAACACTAAGAAAAAATTTCTTTCTATTAGATAGTCTTACAGAATGTGTGAGCAATCAAATTCATGCTTTTGTAATATATGATGATGTAGAACACCGGAAAATAGCATTTTCAAGTATTAAGAAACATAAATGTTATTATATAGTAAATAATTATTTTTATTTTTATAATATAGATATCTTCAAGCTCATGATCAACGGAAATTATTGCAAACAGAAAATTACTTTTTTTTACATAGTTTAATAATTATAAAATAAACAAAAAAATAAGAAGTGCTCTGAATCATTTCATCCAGTTGAGCAAGTTTATACTTATCCGAACAACATAGAAAAAAGTAGAAACTGGAATAATAGAGTGTGAGTGATAGTTCATTCATTACTCACACCCATCGTTTACTCTTTGGCATAACTATACCATACAAAATGCGATTATTCTGATATTCTCTGCTGTTTTATTATTCAATATACCAATGATTTACCATCAGATAGCACAGAAAAATTCATCATATGTTCATCTTTTATCCTAATAATAAAACTAATGTAAATACAAGTTGGTGAAATAAACATTTATTTAAGATAAAAGTGCAACAATCACTGAATATACATACAAGAAACAAACAAATAAAATATTTTCTTTTTATACAGATTTATGTTTAATTCAAACAATTTATTATTAAATCCAAGTTAACATCTTTCATTTTTTCCCAATATTTTATATTTTATTATAATATCAAATTTTCATAAAAATAAATCGTCTAATAAATTATTTAAATTCTTCTTCTTTAATAAAAAAATTTATTTTGTTATAGTTAATTACTCGAGAGAAAAACTAATAAAGAGAGAACTAAAAATTAATAGTAAGTGAAAATATTTGTATAGGAAACAAATAAAGAAATTTTTTATAGAATAAGAAATATTTCGATTTAATATCTCCTTTCAAATTTTAATATTAAATAATAATTTCTAACAAAATCTTTGTTGATAAATTCTAAATTGAAAATAAAATAGGAATTTATTATGTAAATATCTTTATTTTATTTATTTTAATCTCAGTCAATTCATATAAATTCAATACAAATATATTATGAATAAAAATAATTTTTTTCTTTTTGAGCTTAGATGTATAAATATTTTGAAAGCAGAAAAAAGTTAATGTGAATTATATTTTTTATTCTTATTTTTATATTAATTATACTTCTTTCGCTTACTAAATAAAATATATCGATTGAAAAGGATTCGTACTAAAGACATGTGACGTTAATCACTGTCAGAATAAGAATTTTTAGCTTATTCTCAAAGTAATGTACCGAACCATCATCTAGATGTATCCGATGTTCGCTCATCGCTATAGTTATTTTCTGAAGTGCTTCTAAATATGCATTTATTGATTTTTCACTTCTAATCCTGGTTGCTGAGATTTGTCACAGAGTAAGAATAAGAATTTCGAGATCATCAACTGATAATTTACATTTATTATTTTTCTTCCAAAAATTCATGTGAATTTCGTATAAAGTCAATCTCACGAATTTCTATTATATTGAGGGTGCGGGTGTGGGGGCGAATATTACGTCCACACCCAAAAAAATAGTTCAATGTTGATTATCAATCTTAACCTTATGCGAACTGTAACAATTTTTGAAAAACAGCAAATAACTAATGCAAGATGTGTATAACTTAAAGATTACGATTTTGTTGTCGTTTATTCGAAATTTTCTCCATACATACATTTGAATAGAAGTTTTTAAGTGCTCCAGAAAAAAATGCTTCGTTCTTATTTATGGACTATACCGTAGCACAATTCTATGAATGGAAGAATGAAAACATTTTTTCTTTAGTAGCAACTGCATAACGCTAGTAGACGTTGAAAATTATTTTCTTTCTATTCTTCGATCAATTATCCTTCGTCCTTTTTTTTATACTACACAATTAGCTATATATACATTAAATGATAGTTATTCATTGCAGTTTTTTTCTGTTTGGTATTGACAACCATAAGAAAGAAAGAAAGAACAATCATAGCTGCACACATGTTACCTATAAAACGTTAGCGAAATAGTTATTTTTTCATTTTTTATTCAGCCGATTGCATTTTATTCGAATCATTCTACGTATGGCTTCTACTGCAGAAATATCGGCAAATAATGACAACAAAAAACTGAGCGCAAATCAATTAGCTGCTCTGAAAAACGCGCGAGGCACTGACGACGATAGCCAGCTTCAGGGAGACTACGGTCAGTTATTAAAATATATATATTATGATTGTCCTCCACCTTTGTCTTGTAAATTTATAATAATTATCATATAGAAATTATGTAGATATAGCTCCCAAAAGAAATATTTATATTCATTCATTCTAAATGTATAACTGCGATTTACCTCAGAATTAAAGACAGATCACGGTTATGAGTTCATGAGTTATATTTATTATAAGTTAACAAAAAAATAATATCAAAATTAAATTCTTTTCTTTTAGATTTGCTCTGGAAGACTTATCCAAAAGGTTATTTGACAGAGGAAGAGTTTGTCGCAAAGTTTCATGAATCGCAAACGTTTGGCAAAGACACGAATTTCAGTCCAGCAAAACACTTATTCAATGTGATCGATCAAAACAAATCAGGTATGCTATATGTGCTTTCTCATATCTTGATATGGATTTAGATTAGTGGTACTAGTGTATTGTATAAAACAATGTACACTGCCGTGCTTTTATTTTTTAACAATTTAAGTAGAATTAAACTCTGATTTTCATGTATCTATAAAATAAATGAGAATACTTACTTTATTTATCCACATCCATCAGAAAGAATTCAGATAATAGTTCGATCGATACTACACCGGAAGACATAACTACAAACAGAAATGAGTTTTCTTTGAAAATGGTACGGCGTGTCCTATAGCACTACACGATAATCGAATCTTCCTTTTTACTGTGAAACAAAAATGTACTAGTCCTATTTATTGTTTTTATTTGAATTATTTAGGTACGGTGGATCTGTTTGAATATGAATTGGGTTTTATATTAGTGAGCAAACAGGATGTTAATCTGATACTAAATTATCTCTTCAAAATTTTTGATTCCGATAAAGACGGCCTGCTTAGCCAAGGTGAAGTTGTCGACGTATTAAATACATTCTTTTCTTTAATCGTTCGCAAAAATGATGATGGTACTACAGAGAAACCAGACTATAACTTGGAAGAAATTAAAAAAGATGTAAGCAATGCTTTTGGTGACAAAACTCAAATATCTCAAAATGAATTATTCGAAGTCTTGGAAAAAAGCGATATAATTCAAGAGTTTGGCAGACGCCTACAAACTACAAACTTAATGAGCATGATGATTGGTGACTGTTGTCTACAATAATGCTATTGAACGGATGCCATTTCCTTTTTTCAAACTATCTTATCAAATAATATATTATTTAATCACTTATTCTCGATATTCAATATATTCAAACTCTTAGATACCCACTAACCAGTTTAAAATACCTTTATTAACGTCATAAATTATACTAGAAGCACTTTTTAGCACACTTCATTTTGTGTAACTGTGTTATTATTATAAAAATAATAAAATTACCAAGCTTTGATTTTATCACAGTACAATACTTGAGAAAACTTTGATGTAAGACTTATGAGTTAAATAAAACTCATTGTCGATTATATGCTTTTATGCTTTTTTTATTTCAAACATTGAGAGAGAGTTTGTTTTGATACATTGAAAAGGTTGTTAATTTGCGAATGAAACTCATTTTTATTTTTTAGCTTTCGTTATTTTACAGTATCCAACGGCCGGAATGATTGCCCTGAATTATCGCAGAAATGCTTATTCTCGAGTTTATAGAGAACCGAATTTGATATTCTTCATATTATAAGACAAGAAAATATTCTGCATAGATCTTCTATTCTGTGGCAGTAACATTCCTATCCACTTACCTCGATTATATTAAGGATTCTAAAAAATTTACCGATATTCTCTACGCAAGACAATAATTCCAAACAATTTCTTTAGCGAATTGAAAATTGCATGAACGTCATGTTTATTATTGAATAATCTATTTGGAGCAGACTTATTTTTAAAGTCATGAAATTCGCATTGTATCAAAGAATTACTTTCAAAAACTTGCATATTGAATGCCAATGAATAGATAACAATCAACAAAATATTTAACTTTAAAGCTCTGATTCTGATGATATGATAATACTCATGAGCAACTAGGTAGAGCCTAATTTCACTTTATTACTTTGAAAGAAAATTGAAAAGTATTAAAAAAAGATCATTCAAAATATGAATCGATGCTAACTAATTAATATTTATCCATCAGTTTTGGTGACGATTGACGACTGTTCACGTCATATTTTCTTAATAATAAAATAGTACACTAAGTTATCATTCGTATTATATATATGCAAAAAGCGTACTTAGTTTTTCTTGCCACGGCCATAATAGTAATCATCACCACGATAGTAAACATCATCAGGAGGAGCAACACGTGTACGACAAACAGGACTACCAGTGCGATCACGACCATCACAAACATCAGTCACAATTCGATGAGTATAAGGGTCAACAGCAATAGAATAAGTACTACAATTACAAGTACGACGATCAACATTGAAAAGAACAGGCAGAATGCCAGTCCAGAGAACGCAATGACCACTTTCAGGATCATCATGGCCGCAACAATCGGAAGTACTAGTGCAAACATCACCAGGACGAGCACAAGCACGTTTACTGAAGGATCGATGAGATTCTTTCTCTATTCGTGCATTACAATGCATAACTAGAAATATAAAGATTGACATAAAGTAAACCATAACTTTGATATTATTCATTTCGCTGTTGGTAATTATCGAAGAAATACAATTATACGTTTTTACTTAAAAAAAATATATATGCTTATAATTTTATAATAATATTGGTGCTTTTATATAAATGCCGATTGCTTTAGAGAAAATGAATGAAAAACAAAATTTATATTTATTATATAGAATATAATAAAAACAAGTAACGATGAAAGACCTATTTGCAAACGAAGAGTAATTTATAAGTACAAAAGAAATAATTTATTTTTTTTTTCGTTCGAGAATTAATAGTCTCACTTGTATTTATAAGACGTGCTTACACATACAGTCAATAAATGTGACCTAGAATACATTCTATTACTCAAAAGTACCTTTTTATTATAATTTTATTGAATACATCCCTGAGATATTTCAATTAATTATATGGATAAGAAAATATTTGATTTTAATTAAAAGGCGAATCAATTTCACACCCACATCCTCAATATAATTAACATTTTCGAATCTTCTTTCATAAAAATGAAACACTTTATATATATAAACATATTGGAAAAAAAGTTTTTATTAACTAACTAACGTACAGAAACAATGTTAAAGTATAAGTTCATACAAAAACTTCATTTAGTTTTGTACATTTTTGGGTCGTATGAACCGATCTACCACACCTTTCAATAATGGTTTGGGTGTGCCATCGTAGCCTGTTTTTCTAATCCAATCTTCAACTGTAACACGCTCTGGATTCACCTGTTCAATCCATTTCATATCTCGTTTTATAATATCATCGTGATACAAACGCCACCACGCACGGAAATTATCACGATATGTTATACCATTAGGAACATCTGTTGCAAGTGCAGCATCTCTCCATGGTAATGCTTCAACCCATTCATCATATGGAAGATCCTTGTAGACAGCAGGTAGATTTGTAACTCGTTTAAATGTTTCGACGAGTTCATCCCAACCGAGCATTTGAGAAGCAATCTAAAACGAGAAAAAATTTTCAGATTTCGAAAATTGAAAAGAATATTAAATAATCCTTGAAGATCTATAATGATATTTTTCGATCATTTAAAATATTTATCCTTACTTTCAAATCTTTGCCACTTGTTTCTATTCGATGATCAAATATATAACGTGCAAAGTATCCAATATCATCAACCGATACAATTGGTAAATGTCCTTTGCCCAATGGTGCAGCAAATACACGTGTACTATCCTCTTGTATACGTGGAACTAAGAGACCACCTTGGAGCGTTTCTATGTAGGGTCCAGTTGTTACTATACTCCATACCATTCCATTTTCATCGGATGGTTGTTGTTGCATCCATTCAGCAACAGGTCCTTTTCCATCATAATGTGCACAACGATAGACTGGATTGTAATTAACTATTTTCTTTAAATAGTCTAAACTTGAGTAGATGTAATGTTTGACCGTTCCAATTTGTTTAGCCAATTCAAATATACGCATACCAGCAAAAATTTCGGCCTCTTCACCAATTGTAAACGTATCTGTGTTTACAAAGACACCATAACAGTTTTCTAGTGCTTTCAAAACACTATTGAAATCCAAAACATTTCCCTGTACAACTTCAACGTCATATGATTCAAAGTCTTCTTTGATTTTATAATGTGATGGATCGCGTGTCAAAATGCGAACGGTATATGGCGTTTCCTTGCCTGATATTCGATCAGGACCAAGTAATTTTTTAACAACCGCCGATCCTTGTGCACCGGTACCACCAATAACGAGAATAATTTTCTTTGTTGAAGTAGACCTAAAATATTTTAAAAGTATAAGAGATATAATATATTTTCATATGTAAAAAATCAAAAAGTTGCTTACTTACATTTTATCGTTTTATTTTTATGTGCGATGTATATCTATATCATTGTTTATATGGATTAATACATTTTGTGCCATGTCATGACGAATAGCACATATATTTTGTGTCTCGTCATAGAGAAGAGAAAATACATTTTATCACTCGTTATGATGAACGGGACGTATATTTTATGCCTCGTCATAAAGAAGAGAACAAATCTTATATGCATCGTCAGCATGGACGAAATAAAATAGGTACAGTAATGTATAGATAAATAGAAAGAGAACAGAATGCCTTGTCATAAATACGAATGTGGTATTATTTATATTATTAATAGATTAGAGTAGACAATATTTTTTTGCAAGTCATAATGATAATACAATAGTTTTATGATAATTTATATTGAAAAGATGAATTTGAAAGCATTATTTTAGAAAAATATAAGCTTATTCTTAATCATTAGAGTTCTATCGATCATATAATCCTGAAAATCAAGTCTATCTTTGTCAAAGGATACGAGTAAATCATTAGTTTTGAATTGATATCTACTTAAAATGATCTGAAAAGTACATATAACATGCATATTCTACCATATTTACAATAAAATCCATTAAGAATAATATTGTGCTGATAGTGAGTAGAGATGTCAGCTCATTATTAGTACTAAGTTAGCAAAATCTTATATGTTCGTATTGAATTTAAATGAATGTAAGTTTATAAATATTTAGAGAACATACGTATTTTTATTACAGATCAATACTTTAAACGATATATGTTATTTAACTTTCACGTGGTCTATTTATATGTCTCACTATAAATACAGAACACGCCAAAACTTTAATTTATAATCACTTTATATTGCATCGTGTTATCGACTCTATAGTTTTGGTAAGAAATTAATGCAATAAGACCCTTATGAATTTATTAAAATCAATTTATTAGTATTTATATAGGCGCCTAAGATCATACGATAATAAAATATGATAGTTAAAATAAAAACGGATTCATGTACTTTTTAAAACTTCATAACATTTAATCGAACAACGATATAATATTTGAAATCCGTCGTAAAAATATACTTAAAGAAATATAACTCATACCATCATTGAGGGTGTGCGTTTGTCAAAGTAGATGACGGTCACATCTACACTCTTTTAACAGTTATTCTCACCATAATTTACGCATGAAAAACGTTTCGTTCATTGAAAATGATCTCAATCATTCCACAGCACATTGAATATATGGAAACAAATTGATGGATATTCATCTATTGTATCAATAACATATTCTATGTTTAGATAGTTAGGGTTTATATTTTTGAAAAAATACAGACTACTTCATGTTATTAATCAGACGTAGCAGATATTTATCCTAATATCTATATAAAAGAAAGAATACTAGGTAATCATACATATATTTAACAAAAATCGATTAAATTTATAATGTGATTATTAGATTTATATCAAATGAGAATGAATCATGTTTATTAAACTTAGAAAACGAATAAATATACATCAACATTCACGATTCTTGTATATAAATATAGTTGAAAAATTCGACGATAGAGAACTCACGAAGTAAAAAAACCATAAAAGAATAAGAACGAACGAAACAAAAATATATTATAAGCAAAAGAAAGAAAGAACAAGCAAATATATATAGATAAAACACTTATAGCATGACCTAGGCACATGCTATAACAGTAATATAACGCATAAAATGTCTTAAATTTAAAGTTAAAAGAATCGTAATGATGATTCTTATTTGTGTTTTAATAATAATAATTTACTTGTCCATTTTTGAATAAAATGTAGAATAATTACGATAATAATAGTTGAAAAAAAAGGTTTTGGTAATTTAAGTAAAAATCTTATTTTAGCTTGCTGTTGTTTATAAAAGTGAGGAATTGGATGTAGACCTTCTTGTATTTCTATAAATGGATTATATTTATCTCCATATATCCATCGTGTTATATGATAATAAATACGAATTGGTAAAAATACCAATTGTAATGTTGCTGATGATGCTTTATAACTAAATAAAAAAATAAAATTTATATGATCTACAAATTTTATTTTAAGATAAATTACTTCGAAGAGAAGATTGATGTTGATACATTATTAACCATTAAATAACCCGTTAATGTAAGTGGAGCATAAAAACCTTGACTAATTTTTAAAGAAATATTTGATATTTCTACCGTTTTACCAAACATGATTAAGCGATCTTGCATAGTTACTGAATCTGCACGCTTCATTGTTACTTTATTTCTTATTGTATCAAATACAGGTATGTTATGAGAGCCTGTTAAACAAAATTGACCACCTTCAACACTTTGAAATGTATAAAACATAGCTTAAAAACAAGAAATAATTGAAAATAAATTAATATGAAGAAAAAAGATTAAAAACCTTTTTCATTTGGTTCATTATGCATCATTAAAACAATTTCATCTTCAATAAGTTCGTAATTATGATCGTTAATTGACCAAATTTTATCTCCAACTTTTAAATTTTTTATATGACGTCGTCCACCTTCGACCAAACCAACATGATCATCACCATAATAACATCCTGCAGTAGTGGTTGTTGTAGCAACTGTAGTTGTGGCTGCTGTAGTTGACGTTGTACTAGTAGTTGTTGTTGATGTCGAGGTTGTTTTAGTTGTTGTTGTTGATGTTGATGATGTTGAGGTGGTGGAAGTTGTGGATGTTGTAGACGTTGAAGAGGTCGAGGTTGTTCTCGATGTCGTCGATGTTGATGTAGTTGTAGTCGAAGTGGTTGAGGTTGTGGATGTTGTTGACGTTGATGTGGTCGAAGTTGTAGTCGATGTTGATGTAGTTGAGGTTGAAGTAGTCGACGTTGTGGATGTTGTCGACGTTGAAGTTGTAGTTGATGTCGTCGATGTTGTTGTTGAAGTTGAGGTTGAAGACGTTGATGTGGTCGACGTTGTTGTTGATGTCGTTGTACTGGTTGTGCTTGTAGTTGTAGTCGTTGTGGTTGATGAAGTTGAAGTTGTAGACGTCGATGTAGTCGACGTTGTTGTTGTTGATGTGGTTGTACTTGATGAAGTTGAGGTTGTAGACGTCGATGTAGTCGACGTTGTTGTTGATGTTGTCGTAGTTGCCGAAGTTGAGGTAGTCGTACTGGTCGTAGTTGTTATGGTCGTTGAAGTGGAAGTTGATGTGGTGCTTGTAGTTGTTGAAGTTGAAGTTGTCGTACTGGTTGTCGTTGTTGAAGTTGAGGTTGTAGACGTCGATGTGGTCGACGTTGTTGTTGTTGATGTCGTTGTTGTGGTGGTTGTAGCCGTGGTTGATGTCGTTGTTGTCGTTGTTGTGGTTGACGTTGAGGATGTAGACGTCGATGTCGTCGACGTAGTTGTTGTTGACGTTGAGGTGGTTGACGTTGTAAATGTTGTGGATGTTGATGTAGTCGAGGTTGTTGTTGACATTGTTGATGTAGTTGTTGAGGTCGATGTCGTAGAGGTCGAGGTTGTTGTTGTGGACGTTTCAGATGTTGTTGTTGTAGAGGTCGATGTTGTGGACGTCTCC